TCATGCTGTGGATGTTCCATTAACTTTTATATAACCTCTCATAAATGGTTAGAAAAAGAAACCATTCTCCCTGGCTTGCTTTCTAAAGGCTGAGAAGAGGGAGACTGGCATAGTAAGAACAAATTTCACCTTCTTGCCAGTTTTGCCTGGTCCCCCGTCTCCCTATCATAGGATCTGAAGAAAGCAGAGATCGAGTCTCCTGGCTGGCACGCCAAAATGTAGAAAAAGCAAAACCGCGTCTCTGCTCATTGAAGCGCCTGCCGTTGGAGTCTCTCGAACAGTGGCAAGGCAGACAGACTAGCAGGAGGAAAAGCATACGCATTTATCACATGCTTATACACAGGAGCCTCACGAACTCTCAGACTCAAGGAAGGAATGCAGGCCAAGGGTCTGTACTGTCCCGAGGCTACAGGAAGGACCGGGGCTTCTGGCTTCTTAAGGGCAAGACGGAAGGTGGAGGCACAGGAGATGTGAGGAGGAGGGGGAGAGGAGGGCGTGCAACGCGGACATGCCGATCCAGTCCTTCAGGCAGCAGCCCTCGCCAGGGCACACGGTGCCAGTTCAGCTCATGTACAGTTCCCCCGGGTGCCAGGTGTGGATGCCACCTACCCTAAGTCCAGATATGGTGGACTCAAGGACCTCTGAGAAAGCCAAGGCCTGTATGTGCTGCCTTGCTTGACTCATGTAGGTAGACACAAAGACTTATCTCTATATTCTATATAGATGTAATATATAAAACATATAGGCACAGCTTGTCAGAGCTATTCCTGTGTCTGTGATTTCTCTGAATAGCCATCTCAGAATATGCCCAAGAAGTCTATTTTGGGTGGAATATTTTGGTTTTCCATAGAGGTTTTTTTCCAGAGAAAATGTATCTATGTTCTCTTTATGCAACCTAAATGCATCAGGGAAAAAATAATTTTACTTTCTTCGAAGTGAATGATGAGTTAATTTCTAAGAATGTCGAGGCAAATCTAGATAGAACAGGGTCCTACCAGGCACTGGTGTTTCGTCGTTTGGAGAGAGCAGCACACGGAGTCCCGGAAGTAGCCTGGAGGAAAGGCAACCTGCAGGGGCTGTGGTCACTGTGAGCTGCTGCCCAGCCAAGGTCTAAGTGCTACCCTGGGAGAGTCGACACGGCAGCCACAGCGTGCTGGGGCATCTACATGGCAGCAGGACTCTGAGCAGACATGCACATACCCACTTCCTCCAGCAGCCCACAGAAACACAGGTGTGCTGGCCAACGGGAGGGGAAGGGATGTGGAGCTGCCGTGCGCCCTCTGGAGCTTGGTACTCCAGCCGTTTACAGCTCTAGGAACTCTGTCCTTTCTAGGTTTAGTAGAGACCTCACTGCACAGGCATGAGTGTGAGCAGAACAGAGCCCAGGGATGTGGCCAAGGTCTGCCCAGGTTCTTCTGGGCCTCCCTAAGGGCAGGCCAACTCTAAAATAGAGTGCGAATGGGGGAGTGTGTTCTGGTCATCTACTGTTAGACAAAATGGACCAGAGGAAGGTGGGAAAGTTAGGGTTGCTATGACCTATCTTGAAGAAGGCAAGTTCAATTTTCTACCTTTGGGAGAGAGTTGTGAGCCAGGAATCATGAGAGCAAGCCAAGAATTACACATTATTGTGTCACACACACACACACACACAAACACACACACACACACACACACACACACTTTATGAGACCCTGGATCTTCAAGGAAAGCTGAGAATCTTGCTCTTGAGACATTTGCAAAGCAAGGAGGGGACTCTGAGATGCCTGGGAGTGGAGGGAGGAACCCTGGTGCCCGGAGGAGAAGTGGCCAGTCCACAATCTGGCTTCCCTCCCTGGCCCTCGCTGGCCTGCTCTGTGGAACACTGCCCTACAAGGAGTAAAACCAAGTGTAGCAGTTGTAGACTGGGGCCAGGTCTTAGAGCAGGCCCGTTCCCTTAGAGGTAGGCAAGAAGGGGACACCCAGACCCCTGGACCAAGCAGAACCCCATGTGGAACCTCAGGGAGGTGCAAAGTGCAACACTGATAAAATGATGACTGGGTTGTGGGCAGGGGAGAGACCTGGGTCAGCCCGCTTGGGATGGGGAAGGAGAGTGTTCCTCTTTGGGGCTCCATGCCGTACTTTGGGAAGTAGGATTGTATACCAAAGGGAGAGGTGGGAGTGGTGCAAGTGCCAAACAACCACATGGATGCCAGTGTCTCAGAAAGCCCAGGTTGGAGTCCTGGTTCCAGCTTCCTGCTAACGCGCACCCTGGGGGAAGCAGTGATGATGGTGCAAGGCCTTGAGTCTGCACCCCGCCCCCCAGGGGGACGTCTGGATGCATTGACAGTCTCCTGATTTCGGATGACCTCACCCAGCTGCAACTGATGCGGGCATCGAAGGAAGTGAACCAGTGCATGGAAGATTTCTTTCAGTCTTTCTGCCTTTCAAATAAATTTCAAACATTAAATAGGTGAAAATGTAAAAAAAAAAAAATGTGTTTGGCATAAGAACTCATTACCCACAAAGTACAGGTGACCTTCCAGCACTCCTCTGATAGGGTCTTGTTCCGTGAATCAGCTTCCAGTTGGTCGGTGACTGCATCTATGGCCAAATGTTTGTAATATTTGGCCCAACTTCCTCCCTAAACGTTACAAATCCAAAGAGGAAGATGGGAAGATACCACTCAAACTGTGGCATGGCTGCCCGGGATAGAAAGTAGATAATGCCGAGAGTGTCCAAGAGGGAGGATGAGGGAGCTGGAGTCTGCAGAGTCCTCTCCGTTCTTCACGGGAAAAACACCTTGCAGCAAAGGGGACCCCGGACTGTCTTGTCCACCTACAGAGGCCCCCGGTCCGCTCTCTCAGCTCCACTCTGCCTTGCCCTGATTCATAAAACTGGAGGTGGACTATGAACTGCTTTAAGGAGCAAGGGGAAAAGCAGAAGGTAGCTAGAGGATGCGTCGACAAATCTGAAGTGCCTTGATGATGATAATAATGATGAGAGCTGTGGGTGGAGGGAGTGTGGGCTTGTGGCTGATGGAGTGGTGGTCAGGGTTGGGTAGTTATTTGATTTCCTGTTGCTATAACAAAATTTCCCAAGGCTGGTGGTTGATAAAGAGCAGAGCTTAGTGTGGCTTCTTGCACTGGCAGTTGGTAAACCCGAGAGCCTGGCTTTGGTGAGAACCTTCTTGCTGTATAATAGGATGGTGAGATAGCAAGCAGGCCAAAAGGAAAGAGCTCATGTTTTTGTAATTTTAGTTTATTGGTTAATAATTTGTATTTGACAGAAAAAGAGATAGAGATGTCCAATCTGCTCCTTCACGTCCTCCAGAGAGTATCTGAGGCTGGACCAGCCGGAAGCAGGCACCAGGCACTCAGCCGGTGACCTGAGGCTGGACCAGCCGGAGCCAGGCACCAGAAACTCAGCCAATGTGGGTCCCAGAGGACACATCTGCCTCCCAACATGCACACTGGCTAGAAGCTGGAACCAGTAGCGGGGCTGGGAGTTGAATGGAGGCACTTCAGATAGGAGGCAGGTGTCCCCAGGAGCATTTTAAGTGCTTTGCCAAACACCTGTCCTGGAGCTCACTCTCTTGGTAACTCATTAATCTATGAAGAGATGAATATGCTGGTTGATCCTTTATGAGGCCCCTGCTCTTCCCAAAGGTCCCATCTGAAATTCCATTGATACAGAAGTTTAGGGATCAGGTTTCTAGCATGTGAAATTTGGATGACATATTCAACCCACAGTGTGGTGGTTGAGGTGGAAGTGGATGGTGGTGTTGTTGCTAGTGGTGTTGATACTGGTGGTGATGGTGGCAGAGAGGTGGTGATGTTAGCGGTGGTGATGACAGAGGTGACAGTGGTGATGCTGATGGTTCTGTGTGGTGATCGCAGTGGTGATGGCTATGATGCAATCATGCTAGCTAGTGGTGGCAGAGGTGGTGCTGCTAGAAAGAATATTCCGGACTAGGTGGTTGAAAATTGATGTCAAAAGCAAGAATAGCCTGGCTGACACATTGGACCAGGAGTGAAGTAAAGGGACATCACCTAGTTAGTGACACTCCTCATTGTGTCCTGTGTGGTGTCCCTGAGTCACACACATAGCTAAAGGGCAGGAATGGTATTGTTAGTGCCACCTCTGGCATCTGGCAGTAAGTCTGCCATAGAACAGATGACTCCTGAATGTTGTTTCTGCAAACAAATGCTTGAGCCCAGGAAGCACTGGTGCAGGAAGACAGGAATGAGAGTCCTGCTCTTCCATTTATTGGCTGTGTCACCTTGGACCAGGAAGTCCAGCTCTCCAAGCCCCAGGTGTTCACCGAGTGGCTCTGAATCATTTTCATAGGTCAGACACCACTCTGAGCACAGAGCTAGGCTCACAGCTCTCCTGGAGCCCACATAGTGTAAGTGAGCAGGCAGATGGAAGAAACACCTGTTATGCGTGGTGTTTGTTATGGAGCAAGGTCGAGTGATGTGATGGAGATGGACCAATGGCTGTTGTCACCAGAGCAGTCAGGGAAGACCTTTTGATGGGTCTGAGCCATGGATGACAAGGAGGTGCCCCTTCCTGTGAGAACTGTGGCTCTGGAACTGGAAAGGGTGGCCCAGAGTCATGCAGATGTGAGAGAGTGGCCCATCGGAGTGGGGCTAGATGCTAGCGAGCCAGAGGGAGGGTGAGGAGTTGGGCTGATTGATTCCAAGTGAGAAGCAGCAATGCTGGGCCTGAAGCCAGTGCAAGACAGGCAGGAGAGGGCAAAGTTTGCAACCAAGGGCAGGCCTGGGGTTCTGCTTAAGCCGCAGATGGAGGAGGCGAGAAGTGGCGGGGAGGGTAGGTTCAGAAGGATGGGTGCAGGTCTGCTGTACGGCTGTAAGAGTTTTTGAGCTGATTAGAGACATCCCTGGTATTCTTACTGGTGAGGACATTGTGCATACTTGGGGGTATGAGATGAAGCTGAGTACAGCGCTCAGCAGGATGCTTCACCATGGCATCCCTTGTTTGTTTTTGTCCTTCCCTCCCAGGTACCAGGTGAAGCCAATCTGGCCAACATGGTGGCCAAGCTCAGCCAACTGACAAGTCTGCTGTCCTCCATTGAGGATAAGGTAGTGTGGGGGATCCTGTGGGTCCTCTTTGTTTCTTCCGTGTCCCCTGTTGGCACATGGGATGCCCAGGCCTTCTGGCTTTGCATCCTCCATGACCCTGGCCCATTGTTGTGCCCACAGGTCAAGACCTTTCTGAGCGAGGGGCCCGAGGCCTCCCACCGGCGATCCCTCATCCCTCCGGTCACCTTCGAAGTAAGTGGTTTTGGTCTTTGCACTCGAGAGCTAGGGGAGGGTGGGAGCTCTGCAGGAGGATGGATTTGGCCTTGGGCTGTAGGACAAGGAGCCCCAAAGCCAGGGAATTGGTCTCAGTGGAGCAGTGCGGCAAGGAAGATAGCTCAGTTTCAGAGTCAGCGCCCACACTGGTCCTTCATGGCAAGACTGTGGGGAAGGGGCTCCTCTAGCCCCTCACCTAGCCTGAGATGCTGAAAACTTTCTTTCCTAAAATGGAGCAATGAGAGCCGTCAAATAGGGAGTCTTCCAAACTGCTCGCAAGGTTGGGGGAATATAATCTCTGTGACTGTGGCTGTGTTAGACGCTCCAGGCTTAAACCCCAAAACACATCTCTTGACGATTCCCACAGATTCTGGCTCATCCTGCCCAGGCCAGCCACCACTCAGAAACACAGTTTGAGACACCCCCTCCTCCCAATCCCGTGAAAGATGGATGCCCCATTGAGTGTGGCCAGGCAGCCCCGTTCCTCATCATTGTCAGTAGATGCTCAGGTGGCAGCTGTCACAAGCCCAGGAGTTGACAGCTATGACTGAAACGTTCCCTGGTGGTAGATGACACATCAACATACGGTGTTGTCAGAGGAACCTCTTCGGGGGTAAGGGATGTCCTTGGAAATGTGTCCCTGTTGGGGCAATGGGGACCCAGGAAGTAGAACCCCAGGGATCCCATCAGGGACACCCATCAAGGGTGTCCAGTCATAGGGATGAGGACTCAGGGGGTGGCAGCACAGAGCCTGGCCAACCCCGGAAATCAATGAACCCTGTGTCCTCCTGTGCCCAGGTGAAGGCAGAGTCCCTGGGGATTCCTCAGAAGCTGCAGCTCAAAGTGGACGTGGAGTCTGGGAAACTGATCATCAAGAAGTCCAAGGATGGTTCTGAAGACAAATTCTACAGCCACAAGAAAAGTAAGGCCCCACACACCTGCTACGTGTCAGCCCTGGCAGGAGATGACTGGTCCACAGCAGGCTGTAGGAGACCCCAAATCCTGCTTGGCCTCCTCACCGTGGTGGAGGGCATAGCCTCCCCTGGGGTGCCCACCACTGCCCACCCCGCCTCTAGGGAACTGCTGCTCTCCGCTAAGGTCTCCTCTCACCAGGCAGCCTGTGCACATGATGCCTCCCTCAGGGCACCCTGGGAATCAGCTCACACCTCTCTTGTAATGCATAGCAGGGGTTCTATGTGCCTGCACATGTGTGTACAGCATGTGTGTGGGCATATGTGTGTGTGTTCTGTTCCATGTAGGAACCAGTCTGGCCTGCTCCAGGCCTACGCAGTTGGGTGGTGTTGACCACGTGGAGTAGCTTCCTTAGCACAGCACACAGGGAGAGGCAGTCCAGCACGGTGCTAAAGTGCCTGAACCCTAGAACCAAATCTTGAACCTGGCTTCTAGCTGTGCCACTTAGCAGTTCTGTGACCTCAGGTGTAAGCCTGTGTAGCCCTCAATCTCATCTGTAAAATGGACCAATAAGTGAGTCACGTATAAGGCTCTTCAGGACAGAGCCCAGCACTCTTAGAGGCAGCTGGATATAGCAGGTGCTGGGTTGCTGAGCCACATCCTGCATCCTCACACGAAGACCTGGCAGCTATTCGCACAGCAGGTACTTCTGTAGAAGGCATAGAGAGGGCCCCTGACTACAGTGGACTTGGTGTCTGGTGCATTGGTGATCAGTAACTACTCAACTCAATGCCCCAATGCAATGGTCTCAGCCATGACCTCAGGAGTCTTGGGGGACTGTCAGATGTGAACATCCTAAGTTGCTATGAGCAGAGCCTGGGGGAGAAGGAATGGGGCATCCCAGGGCAGAGGGTGTTGGGCCACTTGGTTTCATGGGCGAGGCATCAAGTTAAGATTTGTCTCCAGTGCATACACAGGCTTTGGGAAACCTGGAGCCAGAGCTTCTGAGCTCAACCTCAGCCCTGGAGTTGGTGCCACCTGGGAAAGAAAGGGGAAGATGTTGGAGGGGACACGGGAAGGAGCCTGGGCTCTGAGTTCTTGTCTCCCATCTAGCACTAGGCCACTTGGCAGGGGATGGGGACTAAAGGGTCCAGGTTAGGAGGGCATGCGTGTGGGGTGGCAGGAAGCTGGAATGCCAGCGTCCAGATAGGGTGGGAGTGGCCACACGTGACCAGCAGCAGAGGGAGCAGAGAGCTGAGGAAAGCACTTGAGCTCCTGGCTGGCAGCCCAGGGTGACACCCTTGCCATGCACTGGCCCTTTCTTTAGGGACTGACACTTTGGCCTGTGATGCTTGCTATGCACAGCAGAGCCCTTCCTCAAAGGAATTCCTCCTTCTCATGATAGTCGATCTCTATTTCTCATTTTTAGACCCCCCGTTTTAAACCCAGACCTCTCTGACCTGCAGCAGCATCTCAGACTGTGCTTAGTTGGCACAATTTGGGTTGCCACATTTAGCAAACCAAAGTACAGCAGGCCCCAGTTAAATCTGAATTTCAAATGAACAATGAATCACTTTTTTTTAGTCCTCATGTGTCCCATGTACTATTGGAGATATATTTATACTACAAAAAGATAATAATGGAACAGCTGTGTGGCATCCCAGTTAAGATGTCAGCCAGAACCTCCACCTGCCACATCGGAATGCCTGGGTTCAGATGCCAAGCTCTACTCCCAGGTCTACTTCCTGCTCATACAGCTCCCGGGAGGAGGCAGGAGATGGCTCAGATAATTTGGTTCCTGGCCTGGACACTTATTTGAGTCAGAACTCCAGGATGTTGCAGTGGAGAGATCTTCCAGCTACTATTTCCCAAGTGGTCACAACAGCCAGGGCTGAGACAGTCCAAAGACAGGAGCCAGAAATTTCCTTTGGGTCTCCCACATGGCAGGGGCCCTGAGCCTTTGGGCCATCTTCCACTACTTTTCCCAGGTTATTAGCAGGGAGCTGGAACAGAAGTGGAGCAGCCATGGCTCGAACCAGTGCTCATATGGGATGCTAGGGTTGTAGCTTAACCCGCTGCATCACAATGCCAACCTTTGGGGTCTTCTCACTGGTCCTCAGTTTGCTCTCCTGTCAAGGGGGTTGGTAATATACTATCCCACCAGGCTGTTATGAGTCCTAAGTGGGTGGTCTTGAAAAGATGTGGGAGCAGCCTGTAGGAGGTGCTGGTTACCCTCGCCACCACGACCATTCTCAGCACAGTTATGGCTCCATGCAGCTTTGAAGAAGGAAGAGAGGGGCAGGGAATGAGGATCAGGTAACCACATCCCTGGACACTGGGCAAGTTGTAGGCTGTCACTCTTACAGAGTTGAACTCAGCCTTGGGCAGGGCCCTCTGTTTTGTGCCATGTTGGGAAGGAACAATGGGGAACTATTGATAGTTTGAACAGGAGGTCTAAGATGAGAGTAATTGGCAAGGGACAATGCCTGTTTCTTGCCTCCCAGGGGAAAAGTAGGGGCCCAACTTTGGTAAGAGGAAATAGAAACCTAAAACGAAACAAGACATTATCAGAGTGCCTGGTGGTTCCGAAGGCCTTGAGATCAAGTCACCTCCCATGGAACCAAGAAGCCTTGTGAACTCTTTCAATTTAGCGGACATTTTTCTAGCATCTTCACGTGCCTGCCTCGTGAATACTCCCATAGGAGTCTGCAGCACTCCCAAGGACTTTTGCTAGAATGTGAGGCAGACAAACTGGAGACAAAGTGATGGAGGGTTACTTGGTGCTGTTCTGGGAGGGTGCACAGGTGGATCTGACGGGCTTTAAAAGGTGAGTAGGGATTCTCTAAGTGAAGCAGGTCTCAAGGAGAGACCCATGTAGACAAGAAGCAGGGTATTAGGGAAGTCATGCATTATGTGTTGCAGCCCTGCAGGGAGAAATGGGGCATGTGGTTCCAGATGTAGGCATGGCCTTGGGTGCCAAAGTAAGAGTTGGAGCCAGGCTGTTGTGGGCTGGAGGGCACTGGTGGGTTTGTAGCTGAGCAGGGAGGATATGCACCTTCATGCGGCGGAACCAGCGATGAGGGAAACAGCTGAGCTCAGATCAGCAGCCCTGAGACGATCCAGCTCACATCAGAAATGGACCATGTCAGAGTGGGCGGCCCGATGGGCTGCTCCTGCCCACTTGGGTCCTGTGTGCTGGAGTTCCAGGGCCAGTAGAGCTCTGGTCACTATCATGGCACATGCCCCATCCAGAACCCAGTGATCCAGAGAGGAATCTACAGGACTTAGCCCCCCACTGGCACTCAGCAGGTGCATGTTCAGAGACGGCCTGCCCGCAGCCTGAGGTGCTGACTGTGTTGGTTACAAATCCCAGCTCCTCTACCTCTTCAACACAGGCTCCACCAGGGCCAAGATGTCTTTTCTGTTTTGCACCAAATGCCGAATGCATGACTGGCTGAACACGTAAATGAATGAATGAACATGTAATTGAATGAAGGAGTGAGTGGGTTAAATCAGCTCACACGGCTCCTTGTTTAGGAGACTTCTTTGTAACTGGCATTGAGAAGGTGTGTAGCTCAAGGCTGAGGGCTCTGGTTAAGCTGGAGGCACGTCCCAGCCCCACAACTTGATAAGAGCGTGATTTGGATTAAGTGACCTAGTTACTCAAAACCTTAATTTCTATCCACCTCCATGACACAGCAGTCCCAAGGAGGCTGATGTGGGTATGAATGGAATGTGTTCTGACCACCAAACCTGCCAAGTGTGTGCACGCATGCACACACACACACAGTTTCTTTGTTATTCTTTTATTATTATTATAACGAAATACTTGAGGCAGCATAAGTTTGTAAGAAAAGAGGTGGAGATTCATGGTCCAACATCAGGCTGAAGGGTGTTGGCTTGGCCTCTGGTGATCAGTGACCAGAGATGACACAGATCACACAGCAAGAAAAAGGGAGTGGGTGTGTCATCTTTCTCTCTCTCTCTCTATCCATCTCTCTTCCTCTCCTTCTCCTTTCACTTCCTCTGCCCCCCTCCTTATAAAGCCACCAGCCTCCAATGATGGGGACTCCACCCCAACAATCCAGTTAAGTCTGTTCACTTCCCAAAGGCCCTATGGTTGCTTGAGTTTCCACCTTAGGAGTGCCATTAGCTATGACTTTGAGGTTTAAATTATTTCATGAGTTTGGGTGCCAAATCATGTTCAACCCACAGTGTGGTCATGATTGTAAAGCATGACTCCCCCACAGAGAACCCTACAATCACAGCCACAGTGCGTCCTCGTCCTACTCCGGCTGCCATGTCCTTCGGCAGTTTTATCACCATGGCCTTCTGTTCACTGGAAAAGCCAGTTGCTGAGTGAGGCTCACAGAGCACCTGCCGTGTGCCAGCTGTTGGGCCGTGGAGGTGAAGATGGGGTCTGAGCTTGCAGGAGGTTGCATTCAAGCCAGGGAAAGGAAAATTTGAACAGACAGGCAAACAGATAAATCAGGAAGGTATCAGGAAGTGATGGGCTCCAGGCCGGCTGTTCAGACAGGAGAGTTACAGACGGTAATGAAGAAACACACCTCGTACCTGCTGTTCTCAGTCAGTCCTGAGCATGTAGCAGCTACTGGCCGTGCAAACACCAGGGACAGAGGCAGCTCTCTGGAGTTCCAAGCTGGGAGCAAGCTTGGGGTGTGGGAAGCAGAAGGGACCAGGATGGAGGGCTCAGTTCCCTTTAGTCCTGAACTCAGCTGGCCACCATGAGGAGGTGGGCTTGTTAGGAACAGGTGCTGGGAGATCAGCAGGGGGCCCAGGCAGTTGTTAGATGAGAGGCAGGGCCTGGAGATGCTTAGAGGAAGATAAGCCAAGGGGAGTGACTCCGGGGGAGCAGTAGAGCTGCGGGGTCTCAGGCAGGAAGAAGAGTGTCCAGCGTTGACCACCTGCATGTGGGGGAGGGGGCGAGTGGGTCATGGGTGGCCCTGATGGAGTGAGAGGACCCTGGCCAGACAGGGGCCACATGCTGGGGCAGCCACATGGTCCTGAAGAAGATGTCAAGAAGGACCAGAAACTCAGAGGCAGGGAGTGAGGCCTGGCAGTGGCTGTCGGGCTGGGAGTGGCAGGAATTGTGTCTGGTGACATTTCCAGTCACTGCTGGGGTCCAGGCCCCCACTGCCCTATGGTGAGACGTCCAGCTCCAGATGGCAGTGGAACCTTGTGCAGTGCCAGCAGTTTCCTTCGTAAAGGCAGGTGAGGGACACCGTGGGCGATGAGCTAAGAGAGCGACGCTGCATGAGAGCTGGAAGGTAGATGGCTGGCAGGGGGTCATCTCCAGCTCAGAGGAACTAAAAACGCTGAGCCCAAAGCATGCGGTAGGAAACGCTGAGACACTTGACAGCTGCCGCAGAACCCACAAGGGACTCAGGGTCCGATAACATCAGGGGCTCAGGGTGGGGAGAAGGTGGGGACCGAGAGGTAGGCCTGCCTGAGCTGTCCCCACGCAACCAGTGGCCTCCTTAAGATCTGACATTTAGTCCCCTAAGAAGGAAGGAGCTGAAAACCTGAAGAGCAGGGGAACCCATCAGGGGAAGGGAAGTGAGTGATAGCTACTTCCTGAAGGCGGAGACCCCCGCCCCTTCCGGAGGCTGCCAGCAGGGCCCTGCTCTCCTCCCCTCCGCAGGAAGGAAGAGGCCAGCTTAGGGATGGACAGTCGTGGCCATCAGACCACCCACAGACCCCACCGCCGCCCCTGTTGGAACAGACGGCCAAGGGTCTCACACCTGAAGGGGAGCCTGCAGTGAGTGACAGCGAGTCACCAAAGCCACAGCAAACGGAAAGACAGGACGTGGGGCAGGCGTTTGGCCTAGGGCTTAAGAGATCCCCATCCACACCATCCCACATCAGAATATCTGGGTTCAATCCCCAGCTCCGGCTCCTGGCGCCAGCTCCCAGTCCATGCAGATCTGGGATTCAGCAACAGTGGTTCAAATATTTGGGTTCCTTCCACCGATGTGAGAGACTCGGGTGGAGGTCTAGTTCAGTCTCAGATGTGGTGGGAATTCAAAAGCTAAAAACAAAAAAATGAACAAAAATCTACTATGAGACCACAAATTGCGTAGAATAAATAGACATTGAACCCTGAAATAAAAAAAAATAATTCTATCTTAAAAGGACGAGTCAGAGAACAGAGGAAAATGAAGAAAGAGGAAGAGTCAGAAGAGAGGGCGCAGGAGAGAAAGAGGAAAAGGAAGAGCAAGGCTAGGAAAATCAAAACAGCCTTGCAGACAGTCGGGGCAACTGGCCAAAGTGGAACCAAAGGTGCAGGAAGGGGCGCTGTGGGGGATGAGAGTCTGAAAAGTGAGGACGTCAGCCCAGAGCCCCCCGTCCCCCAAACAATAAGTATCAGAGGGGAAAAGCAGAGACATGGAGTGAGAAAATGCCTAACAGAATCCAGGGATGAGTCGCTGCGGCAGCAGTTTGTGGCTGTCTGGGGTCTGGGTCCCGGCCGAGCTCCGCGCTCCACGCCAGCTGCATGCTAATGCATGCCCTGTATCCAGATGCCCAGAGGAATATAGGCATTCCCCCTGTGCATTACTGTGTATACAGAGTGAGCCCAGCAAGCCAGCCATCGTTCCGGGACGGGGGCAGCTGGCGCCAGACCTCAGTGCCCATCTGGCAGCCAAGGCCACCTGGCTAGCAGGCCGCGAGGCTGATGGCCCATCAGACCTGCGCAAAGGAGGGGCAGAAGAAAGGTGCTCCTCGGAGCCAGTCGCGTTAACACGAAGCTGTGCTTTGCAGAAACCTCACAGAACAATTGGATTTTCTTGATTGTGAAAACAAAGATTTTAAAAATTGATTTGAATGTAAGTTAAAAACAAAGAAAAATAAGGAAAAGAGAAAGAAAGTGAGGAAGGGAGGAGAGAGAGAGGAGAGCGCTGAAGGAGAACCTGGGAAAGGAGAAGAGGGGGGATCGGATGGTCAGGCTGCCTGGTCAGGTTCTCGGCTCTGGCCAGGCCAGCCCTGCCTTACTGCAGGCAGCACTCTTCCCGAGCAGGGACACCCCTGGGAGGAGTATTCAGGAGCAGACATACACTTGGGGCTCACCCCGGGACCAAGGAGGTCAGGGGGCCGGAGCCGGGAGCCTGAATGCAGTGGTACCTGGATGTGTTGGTTGGAGAAATGAATGAAGAAAGAGTGAGTGAACTCCCTTCTGCCCTCAGTCCTGCAGCTTATCAAGTCGCAGAAGTTTCTCAACAAGCTGGTGATTCTGGTGGAGACGGAGAAGGAGAAGATCCAGCGAAAGGAGTATGTTTTTGCTGATTCCAAAGTAAGCGGCTGCAACTGCTCAGAGGGGCCAAGGGAGGGGACACGCGTCTTAAGGGGCTTGTGATGAGTCATGGCTGCTCACTCAGACCTCTCGCAAAAGCCCATTTCCCAGCTGGGAAAGCTGAGCTCGGAGAGGCTAAGGAGCATGGGATCTGTGCTCATGGCTCTGGTCATCCTGCCAGCGCTGTGGTCGCTGCCAGGCAGAGAAGGGCAGCTCTGAGGCCAGGGGGAGTGTGAGGCTTTTGGCGTCTCTGGGCTGAACTCACGAGCCCTTTGGAGCGCCCTTGGACGGGAGCCTGAGTCTGACCGGCAATCCTCCTGGAGACCTCCACGTCCATGCCTCAGCCGCCCAGCACAACGAGAAGCTGCTCCAGCACTTCAGGAGGAGGATGAGGCGCTGTGGGCCACAATCAGAGACCCCCGTGCAGCCCCCGTGGCGACAGCTCACAGCCTTGCTGTGTGTGTGCCGCTGTAACCACTCCCAGCAGGCAGTCCAAGTGGAGCACCTCAGAGCAGTGAAGGCACGCTCCTGCCAGGAGCCTGTCAGGCACCTGCCGGGCACTCTGACCCCACCCAGTGCTCGAAGCTCCTGCTGCCACATGCCCTGGGGATGCATGGGGGGTAAAGCTGGACAAAAGGGTGGTGTACAGCAGTGAGCGCTGCCGTGTGGGGCGAGGGCAGAAGGTCAGGACTCTGAGACACCTGCTACGGAGAGCAGGTTTGGGCAGTCACTGCCTACAGAGGGCCAAGCGTGCCGTGCACTCCACTGAGGACCCCGTAAGGATACGTGGGGAAGAGTAAGGCTGCCCCCACACCTCTGCACGTTCTGCTCGTCATAATTCATTTCTGTAGTTTACCTTTTCCCTCATCGCATAAATAATCCATGCAAATGGCTGGGGAAGCAGCTAATCCAAACACACAGCTTTAAAATAACAATGCTCGGCACAGCAACCGTGACCCTGGAGTGCTCGCTTCCAGTTGTCTTTTATGAATAAAAATTGCGATGATACCACACACAGTGGTTTACAACTAACTTTTGGTACCCAGCGACAAATTGTGGCCATCTCGCCACAATACCAAATCATCACTGCCTGATAATGTTGAACCCCTTCCTGGGTCCCTGATCCAATGATCCCTGGATCCCCCCGCTGTGAGTGGGCACCACAGTTCTTTTCTAATACCTTCCGTGTTGCAGCGTGTGCTGCTGAGGCCTGCGAGCACCGCGTAGCTGTGCACTTCCTGGCTGTTTCCGGGGAGTCACTCTCCAGGCAGCGGGGTACAGGGCCCACGAGCCCCTGCCTTGTGGCGGCGGACGCCTCTTTGCGAGGTGCTCGGACACTGCTCTCGGTTTTCTGGGCGCGGCTATGCAGCACGTCTGAGTCTGTCTTCATCCCCAGAAGAGAGAAGGCTTCTGCCAGCTGCTGCAGCAGATGAAGAACAAGCACTCGGAGCAGCCCGAGCCGGACATGATCACCATTTTCATCGGCACCTGGAACATGGGTGGGTCTGCGCGCCCTCCCTCGCTTCCTCCCCCTGCCCCGCCCATCGGCTTCCTCTTTCCTGCCGCTGCTGCACCTGCCTCCCGCCCAGCCTCACCCCACACCCCCTTCCAAGGACTTGTGCCCTTTCCCCACGACAAGCTGCCTGGGGCTGCGGTGCCCAAGGACGACCCAGGAGGAGCGCTTCTGCGTCCAAGGGGCAAGTGTTAGTTGAGGAGCCAGGCTGGGCAGGAGAAGGGACTCGTGTCATAGAGGGGTTGCCAGACTCATCCAGAAGCACACAGAGGGGTGAGAATGAGGATAGCCAGCTAAATGAGAATCTCTTCACAATAAATGTGCTTTTAGCATATGTGTTTACCTAACAATAAATCAGTAAATAAGCAGATAGTGTTGTAGTATAGGGGGTTAAGCTGCAGCTTGCAATGCCAACATCCCACTTGGTTGCCGGTTCAAGTCCTGGCTACTTCACTTTTTTTTTTTTTTTTGCAAAGATTTATTTGTTTGACGCCAAAGCATCTAGCTACGTGAAGCAAATATTAACGGGTCTAAAGGGAGGAATAGATTCCAATACGATTATAGTGGGAGACCTTCATACCCCATTAACACAAATGGACAGATCAAAAAGCCAGAAACTCAGCAAAGATTTATTTGTTTGAAAGGGACAGTTACTGACACAGATACAAAGAAAGAGATCTTCCGTCCACTTGTTCACTCCCTGAATGGCCACAATAGCTGTGAATCCAGGCAACTGGAACTCCATCCAGGTCCCCCATATGGATGCAGGGGCCCAGGCACTTGCACTGTTGTCCACTGCTTCCCAGGCCCAGTACCAGGGAGCTGGATCACAAATGGAGCAGCCAGAACTTGAAATGGCGCTCATATGGGATGCTAGCATTTGCAGGCGGAGGATTAGCCAGATGAGCTGTCCCAGAAATCTTTAAACATTAATTAAAAAAAAAAAAACTTTCAAATTTGGTCCTTCCTATGTGGTGAAGTGCTGGCTTCCAGGCACCATAGAATGCACACCTGCTGAGGGATGGGGCACGGCCTTGGTGACTCAGTGCGGGATCATGCTCCGAGGGCTCGAATCACCACTAGGACGCTCTTTCCAACACACCTTTTCTGAGCTGTGAGGCTCGGAGACCTCTGGGCACTGGTGACCCCTGAGTCCTCCTCCCTGGGCACGTGCCATCTGCTAGCCTTGCTGCTTGAGGGACTCCGTACTTCCCCTGCTGTCTGTCTGGAACCCCCCTACTGGGAAAGCCCCTCTGACTCACTCCATGTTGGGTTTTGCTGTTGAAGGTAACGCCCCCCCTCCCAAGAAGATCACGTCCTGGTTTCTCTCCAAGGGGCAGGGAAAGACGCGGGACGACACCGCCGACTACATCCCTCATGACATCTATGTGATTGGCACCCAGGAGGACCCCCTGGGGGAGAAGGAGTGGCTGGAGATCCTCAGGCACTCCTTGCAGGAGATCACCAGCATGACCTTTAAAACGGTGAGCTGGGGTGCAGGGCAGGAGGCCTGGCTCTCAGCTCCCCAGGGTTCCAGAAGTCCCCCCCAAACTCCAAGTGCAGAGAGGTGATTGCGTTCCGAGACTCATGGAGATGGGCCATCCCTGAGGACCACTCCCCCAAGCCAACTGCCCAAGGACACCGGCTACTTGCAGAACATACGGCAGCTCCTTTAGGATGCTTTGTCTGAGGGCCAGCATGGATGGGGAGCTGGGGGTAGGGCAGGGTTCCCTTGAGCTAGGGCGTGCTCTGGGTTCAGCCCCGCAATCCTGTGCACGCCAGGTGGCCATCCACACCCTCTGGAACATTCGTATCGTGGTGCTGGCCAAGCCGGAGCACGAGAACCGCATCAGCCACATCTGCACAGACAACGTGAAGACAGGCATCGCAAACACACTGGGTAAGCTGGGAGAAGGGCAGCGTTTGCCCAGGAGTCCTCCAGCAGAGACGTCCCTGTCCTGGGATGCCCTCATCCTAGGCAGTGCTCTGGCCACCTGGATGAAGTGCAGGTGACCCGGCAGGTCTCCCTGAGTCCCTAACCAAGAGGTGTCGGGGCTGCGGGCAGGTGCACGGCACCCATGCCGAACAGTGAGAACTGGGATGGGGAGCACAAACTTCTGCCAGCGACAGTAACTCTTGGGGGCCTTATGAGGTGCACACAGCTGGCAGGAAGAAAGGACAGCAGGAAGACTACAGGAATATGTGCGTGAAAGAGAGAGTACGCATATGGATGTATCCAAGTGTGCAAGCATGTGGTGAGCTATAAGTGTGTAAGTGTGAGCCGGACATGTGGATGAAAACACTGTGGGTGTGGGTACAGGTATGAGTTTCTGAGTGTACACGTGTGTGCAAATATGTGTGTGAGTGTGTGCTGTGTGTCCCAGTGAGTGTGTGCATCTCCTGGTGTGCATGTGTAGGAGTGTCCAAGCACATACATGCACATGGATGTATCTGGGTGTGGGCCTGCATGGGTTGCCTGTGTGAGTGTGTCTTCAGAGGGCCATGGCTGAAGCTGAGGGCAGAGCCTATGATTTCTGGTGCTTCAAGTCCAGCACAGGACAGCCCCCGAGACAGCAGAAAACAGACTGGTCCCTGCAGCCAGCCATGAAAGGTGACAAACCGCAGACTGCCCCCATGCACGCCCACCATCCTCCTCCTTTCCTGCCAGGCTGCTTGGGGCCTTCAAGGGCACTGCGCCCTGCCCTTCTCTGCCCAGGGGCCTCCCTTGCCTGGGTTCCATTCCCTACCCCCGCCCCCCCCCCGCCTCAGGCTTCCTGCCTTTTCCACCAGCCTGCCATATAATTTGCTAAAATCTGTCACTGAAAAAAAAATTTTTTTAAATAAATCCACATCTGGAGCAGAGGCCAGAGGCTCTTGGTCATCCCCATACAGCTGGCTGTGCTAAGCTCCAGGCTGAACATCGGGTAGTCCCCAGTCTGGCAGGCACCCTGCTCACTTGAATTCAGACAGACAGTATGTGAGCTAGCAGGTGCCAAGATAGGTCTGAGAGTGAGCTGGCAGAGGAGGGGTCAGAGGCACGGGGCACAGAAAGGACAAGGGCCAGGGACAGTGTGGGAAGTGAAGAGATCACCTTCATTCCCGCCCCCTCCCTCCCCATTCTTGAGGACCTTTCTCATCTGCTGCCCTGGTGGCTCCCAGCCCTCAGTGGCACAGCATGAGAGTCCAGTGACCCAGTGCTGCTCAGCTGGCAGGACCTGGGGCACCCATCCTGGGTTAACTGTCACCCCAGCACCTGACGCCTTGTCCAGGCTTCCGATTCCAACTCTCGGGCCTGAGCAAGCTGGGCTGGGAGACTTCCAAAGTCCCTTAGGCTTCTGTTCTATCCAGAACTGTCCAGTGAAAATCAGGCCACCATGAAAATTGAAAGGCATGAAATTCATTTCCATGATAGATTTCATCCGAACTAATATAACCAAGCTGGTGTTGTTCCTATGGGCTTCCAGTGGTGAAAATTATTCCATACCTTACATTCTGTTTTCCATTTCCGACTTCAGACCAGTCACGTGTCAAGTCCTTACTGGCCATAGTCACATGATTTAATGGGTGTACTGGGCGTGCTCCAGCACGGGTCTCGGTCACCTGGCAGAGGTTGCCAAGCTTTTTTCAGTCAAGCACCAGAAGGTGAGTATTTTTGGTTCTGCAGGCCTTGTAGTCTCCAATGCAGACACTCGGCTTGCCTCCGTGGCCTGAAAAGCAGCCAGGGTGATCCTGGAACAAGCAGGCACGGCTGCGAGCCATTAAACGTGGTAGAGGAATCCTGAAATGTGAATCAGATTTTAACATGTTACAGAGTTCTTCTTTGATTGCCCTCCCCCCACACCATTTGAGGAAAGTAAAAGCCACATTCAATCCAGCAGTGTGCCAGCATTTGCTCACTACAGCCTTTCTGGCGCAATTGGGCTAGGATGGGCCTGCCAAGTTCCCAGGGGAAGCGGCCGCTGGTCCAGGGAACACACTTTGAGAACGGCTGGTGTCAGGCAGCACCAAGCTTGGCCTCACCTTGGCCTTGAGTTAGCCGGTCAGGAGGCTGGTCTCTCAGTGTGCCCTGGAGGTCCCTGACAGCCCCATCAGAGAGGGAGAGGCCAGGAAGGGCCATGCCAGTGGCCTCCCTGCCCTGCCCCGCCTGCTTCCTTCACACTGAGTTAGCCTGGTTTTTCCCAGTGGGTGGATGCTGGTGCCTTCTGGCACCCACCACATTGTTCTTGGAAGAAGCCAGCACAATTCAGGTTGCACACCCACTGCTTTCACTCTCTCTTATCTAGTGGACTCACAACGACGGTGCAAAGGCCCTGGGTGTATGCCGTGACATGGCCAGATGCAATGATGAAGGGATTCTCTCTCTTTCTCTCTCCTCCCTGCCTTTAGGGAACAAGGGAGCCGTGGGAGTGTCGTTCATGTTCAACGGGACTTCCTTAGGGTTCGTTAACAGCCACTTGACTTCCGGAAGTGAAAAGAAGCTCAGGTGATGGAGCCGGTGCCCTGCCAGCCCCCTCCTTCCGCCTCCCTTAGCCTGTGTTTGGCTGTGATGGCCTCACATCCCCTCCAAACGCTAGAATAACCCAGTCATCCTTCTGTGGGGCCGCAGAGCTGTCCTGTCGGCCTTGAACTGCCCACTAGGGTCTCAGGAACAAGACTGCAGCACACCAAGGGGTCCCTGTTTGGCAGAATCTTGTCTGCAGGATGGAAGAGACCCACATGTCTTTAATTTGATAGAACCCATAACCTAACAGCCACTCTAGTTCTAAAGAATGGCAGCTCTCCTGGAGCATCTGTGTGGTCCACAGCTCTTGCTGCCTACCGCTGGCCTAGCCGCCCAGAGTCTGCCTCACTCTGATGCCCCGCGGGGCAGGTGCCTCTGCTCCAGGCTCCACCCATGGAGTCCCAGGTCCTCTGTAGCCCTGCCCTGCCACCCACCTGCCTGTGCAGTGGTCCCCTGCACATGCAGAGGGCACAGGGCTGGCCCAGTGCAGCTGCAGGGTTGAGGGTTCCGCGCAGGGTTTCTCCTTGGCCCTGCCTTCCGACAGAGGGGTAAGGAGCCGGGGGCTGGTGCTCAGGAGCCTCCTTCTCTCTCGCATCAGGCGGAACCAGAACTACATGAACATCCTCCGCTTCCTGGCCCTGGGGGACAAGAAACTAAGTCCCTTTAACATCACTCACCGCTTCACCCACCTCTTCTGGCTCGGGGATCTCAACTACCGCGTGGAGCTGCCCACCTGGGTGAGGAGCGTCTGCCGGGTGGGGGCTACAGCTGCAGGAGACAAATGGTCACGGAGACGATGGATGCTCAGACCCGGCCTGCTCAACCTGAGGACGGGGGCTAGGCAGGCATGGCCACAGTGTGACAGGCGTGGGAGTAGCGGGACAAGGTCAACAGCTTCTCCTGCCACAGCCACTCTACAAGGGAGGACAGGAGCCCAACCAGAACAGACCCATTTTGCAGATGGGGATATTGAGGCACAGACAGGCTAAGGAAATTGCTCAGTGGCGACTACCTGTAGCCTCATGCCTGGGGTCTTCATGAGGCTCCCACAGCTTTCAGCTGCTCCCGGAGACTGGGCAGCAACACCCATGGCTGTCCCCTCTCTGTGCTCTTCCTCCTGTCCCAGCTGCTCCTTTGCTCACAAGGAGCTCCTTGGGATGAGTGCCTGCCCTGCCCCTCATTGAGCAGGCAGATAGGTGAGCACAGATACCTATCTGACCATGCACCTGACCTTCCTCTGGGGCACTGTCACAGCCGTTCACACACCAGGGCACAGGCTCAGTGTCCGGTTTGAGGGGAGACAGGCCCTAGAGTCCAAAGCCACTGTGCCCCCAAGAATGTCAGCAGACTGTGAGATACAGCCCAGCCCAATGAGGGAAGCTGAGTTCCAGAGAGTCAGGGCTGTGACTTCGAACAGGTGCCTGGTCCCTAGGAATGCCATCTCAGGCAGTTACTCAGTTGGGGTGCCCAGGCCCAGTTCCATGGGTCCACAAGCAAGTTCAGACATTCCAGGAGCTTCTGTTACAGAGACAGCATTCCAATGCCTATGCAGGGTTTTCTTTACAAACCTGCAGAGCCCTAAGCTGCACCAACACTGCCCCTGGGGAGACCAGAGTGTGGCAATGCATCAGGGACCCAGGCCCAGATCAGGCTGCACCGCTGAGTAGCGAGGTGCCTCCTGTCTGACCAGTGCCCGGGCCCCCATTGCAGGAAGCGGAGACCATCATCCAGAAGATCAAACAGCAGCAGTACACAGACCTCCTGTCCCACGACCAGCTGCTCACCGAGCGCAAAGAACAGAAAGTCTTCCTGCACTTCGGTAAGAACGGCACCCTCTCCAGGCAGCCCTCCGTGCCGGCCAGCGGGAGGGTGGTGCCTGCAGAGGAGAGACTGACTTCCTGTCTTGTCTCTGTTTCAGAGGAGGAGGAAATCACGTTCGCACCGACCTACCGCTTCGAAAGACTGACACGGGACCGATACGCCTACACCAAGCAGAAGGCGACAGGGGTGAGTCCCCTGAACGCCTCTCTGTCCTGCGTGCCCACCTTCCCCCACTGTCACACCTGCCCCTCAGTAAGCAGCAGAAAGTGGAAAGCATTTTTGTGCACCAGACAGGAAGAAAGAAAAGAGAAACAGGAAAAAGCCAAAATAAAGCCACGTGTTCACATGTGTCCCAGGGCAACCCAACCTGTGTACTGCCAAGAACCAATCTTGGCCCCCGATGGTGGAATTTCTATCTTGAAATTCCAAGATTCCAAGAGAATTTTAAGAGGTTATTTCCTTAGTTGGGTTCCAAAAACACATTTTAAAAAGACAATGAGTTCTGTGATGAAACATGTTTGTGAAACTGCCAAGTGAGTTGAAGTTAAACAGGATTTGTCACTGCAGAACATATCAGAGTCTGTGTGAATTTAGGAACACTTGATTCTTCCCAGAGGATTCATTTGCTAAACTCAATTGTAGAATATTAATGAACCCAATATGAGTGAGACCTGCACCTCTGGAAGTGTCTGGTGGGAAAGACAGGACAAGCGAAAGCTAACTCTTACCCAAGACAGAATAGGAGATGGCCCAGGGTCTGATGGAGAACGGCCAAGCAGTGGGTAGATTCCAGGACAGGGCAGGAGACACAGAGACAAACCCAGAGGAGGGAAGGAGACAGGAGTGCTGTCAAGGGTTGGGTCAAGATGCCCAGGACACGACCCCAGCCCCCAGAGCCCACTGGCCGCTGGTGGATGGGCTGCCTAGACGGAAGGCGCTCTGAAGACAGGGTTGTGGCCCGTGATGCAGGCCAGGGAGCACGTGGTCTGGCCTGATGTCACTGTACGTTGGAACCCATGGGGGTTTGAGATGGGACCGTGAGGGGTGTCCGCACTGGCCAACAGGAGCCACGGAAAGCCGTGCTGAGGGCCTGGCAGCAACCTAACGGCACGTATAGAGCTTTGGTGGGTTTGTTTGTTTGTTTGTTTTTAACTAAAAACTAATGACATTTTTGTGGAGTGCCCTGCAGTGTTTCTGTGCAGATACACAGCATGGTGTCCATCAGGGCCAAGCTGTCTATCCCCTCCTGCATGTAACAAGCCTTGATGGTGAACACGTTCACAATCCTTTCTCCCGGCCTGCTTTAAGTGCGTGGTGTGGGGTGTTAACCATGGTTCCCCTCCATGCGACAGAGCCCCAGGCCTTCCTACTCCTCTCCCACTGTAGCTCCTGTCTGTTAGCCAGCCCCTCCATCCCTGCCCCCGCCTCCCCTCAACATTGCCAGCCTCTGTTCCCACCACTGCATATTTTTATTTAGATTTATTTTATTTTTAGGAAAGTCAGATTTACAGAGAGAAGAGGATACAGAGGGAAAGGTTTCCCATCCGCTGCTTTCCCAGTGGCTGCGATGGCTGGAACTAAACCAATCCAAGGCCAGGAGCTTCTTCTGGGTCTCCCACTTGGGTGCAGGGTCCCAAGGCTTTGGGCTGTCCTCCACTGCTTTCCCAGGCCACAAGCAGGGAGCTGGATGGAAAGTGAAGCAGCCGGAATAAGAACCAGATGCACATGGGATCCCAGCAGTTGCAAGGCGAGGATTTAGCACTAGGCTATCGTGCATTTCTAACTTCTAGGAAATCAGCTCTTCTTCTGTGCCACATGTGAGTGAGGTCATGTGGTACTCACCGCACTGGGCTAGGCGTGTTTTCTCCTGCTGCCCGTGTTGCTGCAAATGACAAGCTGTCACTGTTCCTGTGGCTGACAATATTGCATTGTGTATGTATGCCACGTTCTCTCCATACACTGCTCATTTCATGAGCACTTGGTTTGTTCCATGGAGTGGCTACTGTGCAACGTTGGGACACTTGGCAGCAGTCAGAGCTCATGTCCCTTAGGTGTGCACCCAGCAGTAGGGTCTGACTGCTCGGCAGTTCTGCGCCTCCACACTGACTCCTGCAACAACAGTACTCGTTTACTCTCCCATCAGTGGTGTGCGAGTCCTTTCACCTCCTCATCAGGAGTTCTCTCCAGATATAAATGATGAAGATGGGCCCAGCGCAATAGCTCATGAGCTAAATCCTCACCTTGCAGGTACCAGGATCCCATATGGGTCCTGGTTCATGTCCCAGCAGTTCCACTTCCCATCCAGCTCCCTGCTGTGGCATGGGAAAGCAATGGAGGGCTGCCCAAAGCCTTGGGACCCTTCACCCACATCAGAGACTTAGAAGAGGCTTCTGGCTTCTGGCTCCTGGCTTTGGATCAGCTCAGCTCCAGCCGTTGTGGTCACTTGGGGAAAGAACCAGCGGATGAAAGGTCTTTCTCTCTGTCTCGTCTCTCTGTAAATCTGCCTTTCCAATAAAATAAATAAATATTAAAAGAAAAAAAAGGTGAGGGTGAGGCAGGAGGCCAATAAGGAGTGATGTCAAACTAAGAGGTGATTAGGCCTGAATCAGGGAGACAGAGGAAAAAATATGAAAGAGGGAACAAATACATTAAAAGATTCAATTAATAACAGCTGGAAAATCAGAAGGCCAAACTGGCTTGGAGGAGAAGAAAGCCAAGCTTGTTTTCAGCCTAGTTGATGACATCAGTTTAGTGGACAATCTCAACTAAGATAGCCAGAAGGCAGCTGGGAATCCTAGATGACTGCTAAAGTGTGGAAGATGAGACAAGAGGGTTGATGGGCAACCTGGGGATGCGAAGATGAGGAAGAGATGGCAGAGGAACCAGGAGGGCAGGTGGAGGGGGACCAGCAGCCCCTGAGATGGGCAGCTCTTGGAACCTGAGCGACAGAGAGGCTCGTGGAAAGGCAGGGGCCAGCCAGGGAGGAGGACAGCCGGACACGAGGAGCTGGCCCATCCCCTGCTTCGGAGTGCTGTGTGCACTGGAGTTGAGTCTTGGAAGTGTAGTCAGGGTGATTCTCTGCCAAGGCTGTGCAGAGGAGCCATGAGGAAAGCTCTCCAGAAATACAGGGGCCTGGGCCGCAGGCCCTGAGGAGTTGAGGCAAGGGGCCTGTTCCAAGACGTGACTGGAAACCTGTGTCTACCCTGCGAGGCAGTCACCCTGCTCTGCAGGATATGCACGAGAAATCATCTGTTGTTCCAAAGACAGACATTCCCAGCTGGCTTGTAATCTCCCAAATGACGAACCAGGTTATTCAGGCCAAGAAGTGATAAATGTGCCGTGTGCGTACCATAGGACGTTCTTGGCAGAATTAATAAAAGGAAGAAAAGAAAAACGGTGATTGAAGGAGATGTCAGAGAGGGAAGAGTTAGGACCTGGAGGGCATGGGGGATGCTTAGGAGGTTCACTCAGGAGGGTTCTTAAGGCAGCAGGTGTTTTACAAATCTGTGACTGACTTCCAGATGAAGTACAACTTGCCCTCGTGGTGTGACCGGGTCCTCTGGAAGTCTTATCCGCTGGTGCACGTGGTCTGTCAGTCTTACGGTGAGTCGGCTCAGAGGGCAGTAACAGGCTGGGAGGTGACCTTAAGCCTCCCTGGAGCGCCCCCTCTTGCACCGCCCCCTCGGATGGGGGAGTCTCCAGCTTAGGGCACCTGGTCTTCCTTTCACCTCCAACTAGCTGCCTTGAAAGAACTTTCTACAGCTGAGCTTTTCCTCTTACCTCCTACTTTCCTTATTGCTCTCTGGAAAAGCCATCTACACTGCATGTCTACACTGCTTCACCGTGCACTCTGTCCTTACCCTGGAGCCACTGTGGGCTGGGGAAGCTTCTAGTTCTCTTCTTGATGAGCTGAGTGTCCCTCGATGCCCACCAACGCTGGGCCTTGGCCTTCTCGCCAGTAGATTGGAAAACTTTCAGGGCCCACATTGTTGAAAGATCTATGAGTCTTTAGGAATGAACAGGCCACACTCATTTTATCCAAGGTGTTGGCGGTGTACTTGCCGCTTTCCACGAACCTTTTATGAAGCAAGGTGTGGACGGTCCACCAGCCAGCAGGTGCAAAATCCTGACACATCTGTTTGACTCTGAGATTTCATGGCTGCTGCTTCCCTGTTCATCCACCGCCCCTCCCTGCAGGCAGCACCAGTGACATCATGACAAGTGACCACAGCCCTGTCTTTGCCACGTTTGAGGCCGGGGTCACCTCCCAGTTTGTCTCCAAGAATGGTAAGTGGTGGGCAGTATCCATCTCTCTGAATTCCTTCAGAACAGGGGGCCTTGGGCACCTGTCTGCCCACTGCAGTAGACAGGCGTCTGCCTTGGGAAGGACAGCAAAGCCAGTCCCATCAGCTTCCTTCAAGTCTAAGCTACATCCAGAGAGCTTCAGTCCAGAGAAGGTCCTTGCTCTGTTTAGCAAACATGCCAGCCTCTTCAAACTCCATTTTGGTAGAATTGCAACAAAATGGACAAATCAGTATTAACTGAACTGTGGCCTGTCCACCCCCAGAGATGATTCTGGGGAGCCACAGCAGCGCATCTCTTAAAAATGTGTTCATTCCCATATGCTTTCCGTTTCTTTTGCACGAAGCAAGCCACACTGGTCATTTCATTCAGCACTGTGAAATAGTTTATCGAATTACATTTTAAAAACCTATTTAAAGACAACGGTAAGTAAACGTTAGTGTTGATGCCAGCAAGCAGAGGTGGTTACAGCTGTGACAATGTCACGTGTAGGCTGAAGTTTTGGGGTGTCGCTAGAGTCAAGAAGATAGATTTGCAACAAGCATTATGGCATTAGTGCTTAAGGCCTGGGAAGCAGAGACCAACCTCAGCCTGGAGACCCAGGGAGCCTGAGGTCATCTCCCCTGCCCACTGCCCATTTCTGTGCTCAGCACACAGTCCAGGCAGGGGGTGAGAAGGGCAGGGGCAGTGCTCCTTACCATTGGGGCCAAAGGCCACAACCACCAGGGAGGTGACCTCTCCTTTCCATCCAAACGTGGACCCACTGTGTCCATCCTAGCGCTGCCCACGATGCCTTCCTGGGAAGCATTGCCCGTCACTGGCTACGGCATCCTCACTGTCACGTCTCGCTGTCTCAAAAATCCTAACTGCCTGAGCTGAGCGTTGGTTTTAAATAACTACAAAAACAGAGCCTGGCCCGGGGCTGAGGGGCTATGCCTGAGAAAGGCAAGAAGGAGGCGTGGGTGGGCAGAGGAAGAAAATCATATGCACTTGCTTGTGACTCAGAATCTATCAGGAACGACCCCTCCGCTGAATCAATAGTTACAAGCAAGTAAACTCAGTCCTCCGGAAATTACAGGGGCAGACTGAGAAGTGGGGGTGACTGAGTGTCGAAAGGGGGAAGAGCAGGAATCCCTCACTATATGAGCTCAGAAAGGAATCAGATGCAGCCCCCGAGTGACTGAGCAAGCGGGAGGCTCCGGTAGGGAGGCTCAGGGCGTGGCCCGTGGCAGTGAGTTGAGCACCAGTCTTGGCTGCCCAACTTTACTCTGCTCGTGGCCAGCTCACCACAGCAGCTGCGAGCACCATCAGGGGACCCAAGGTGCTGGTAGAGAGCCATAGGAAGGCACTCCACACAGGGAGGGAGCACCTGCAGGGAGGAGGCCCTGGGGAGAGGCTGGCTGGAAATGCCCTCCCCGGGTGTGCTGTGTGACTAGACACCCCTGTTCTCCCTTCCAGGCCCCGGGACAGTGGACGGCCAAGGACAGATCGAGTTCCTCAGGTGCTACGCCACGTTGAAGACCAAGTCCCAGACCAAGTTCTATCTGGAATTCCACTCAAGTTGCTTGGAGAGTGCGTGGGCTGGGGCCAGAGGGAGGTGGAAATGGGCCACGTCTCTCATGCACACTGTACTACATCCCACCTTTCCTGTCTGGAATGGGCTCACAGTCGTGCCTGGGTGGAGGCTAGAGAAGGAATGTTGCAGATGGAGAGGCGCTGAGGGGCCCTGTTGCCCAGGGCAGATGCCACCATTGCTGTACCCACCCTAGCCCCTCGTGACAGAGCCCCTTGAGGTCCCTGACCACCACCAAGCTCTGATTCAACGCAAGAGTCCTGGGCCATGTTGTGGAGCTCATGGGGAGCCGATGGACACCTGCCCTTTAGGGGCTCTTTCCATACCACAGGCCTGTGTTCCAAAAGCCCCAGGAGCCAGTCAGCTTCCCACCAGCCAGAAATGCCCAGCTGGTAGGCGTTGAGGAAGCACATCTTCTGGTTGACCTTTCCACCCCCTGTGCCTGCAGGTTCTCCCTGCTGCATGGTCTGGGTAGCAGCACGGGCTGCGGCAAATTCGCAGAAGGAGGCATTTCGTGAGGACCAGGCTGCGATGCTTCCAGAAAGCCTGCCAGCTACCGCTCTGCCCCTTGGCACTGGCTGGCCTTCTCCCCACTCTGCCAGGCACAGTCCTGGTAGCCAGGCCCCAGGGTCAGCGCAGTTCCAAAAAAGATGAGGATTTTTGCACAGTTGTTTTTAATAAACTCCCCAGACATTTGCATACATCTCTATGGAAACAGCATATTAGGAAGCTTAAATTAGAGTTTCAAAAGGCTGCTGTCTTGAGTGGCGTGGGCCGAGCTGTCATGTTCCCTAATCTTGCCTGTGATAGGATGATTTCTTTGTTGCCAGGCTTGTTGTGAAGAGGAGCTTGGGGCAGGGAGTGGGGTGGGGGGGATCGCTTTGATTTTCCTAAAAATAGTTAGGCCATGTTGGCAGATGACCAGCCGCCACACAGATGCACGATCCTCCCCACCCCCTCACACCTGACTGCTACGATGCCCAGGCCCCTGGGGATGAGACTCGAGGAATCTTGGCTGTGTGGTCTCTGCTGTGTCTCCTACAAAGTCGTGCTTCTCCTCTTACAGGTTTTGTCAAGAGCCAGGAAGGAGAGAATGAAGAGGGCAGTGAGGGCGAGCTGGTGGTGAAGTTCGGCGAGACCCTCCCCAAGGTAACCCAAAGGCGAGGCGGTCTCCAGGGAGACCTGTGCTTCCCCATGCCAGCATAAGGCCAGGAGCAGGACAGCGGCCTGACCAGAGGCAGATGGAGGGAATCCCAGCCTTGGGGCAGGCTCTCACTCAAGGCTCTTCAGTTGACACTCTCCTTGCCTGAATCCTAAGTGGTGTTCACTTCCTGCAGTGGAGCCCAGGAAAATCTGGAAGTCAACTGCTCTAACCATGTGACTTTGCGAAGGGGGAAGCTGCAGGACAGAGCGGAGAGATGCCCGTGTGCGGGCTCCTGGCTATGGGGGCAGGTTCAGCACTCAGCCCCAGAGACCTCCATTCCCCATCACACTCATGCACCTGTCAGCATCAGCTGGCAGGCAAGGCCAGGGGGAAGGCATAGTGAGGAGTCCATTGGCCTTGACCGAGCTCTGTGAGTACAGAAAACACTTAATGCGACCATGACCCTGCGTGGGCAGAGGGTGGGACTGAACACAGACAGTGACGTGCTGTCATTGAGCAGGAGCCTTCTGGATCTCAGGATGTTCACGGTGTGTACAGAGTGGGGTAGATCCTGTTCTTTCTCATATCCCAAAGGAGAGGTCCAAGGAAGGGCAGCCACAGAGGGCAGGGATTTCAGGGGTGTGCTAGGAAGTCCCTTGGCAGTGACATGCTAGATGCCTTTTATTTTTAAATTCAGGAGTCAGAGAGAGTGCGCATGTGCATTCCCATACTTCGGCCCACTTCTCAAATTCCCACAGTTGCCAGAATAGAGCCAGGACCAAGCTGGAGCCAACAGGAACTGAAGCCAGGATCTGGGAACTCAGTCCTGAGTCTACCACATTGCTGGCAGGCACCACAACTGAGCCTTCACCCTTGCCATCCAGGGTCTGAGTTAGCAGAAGTCCCAAGTTTGAAGCCAGAGCCAGTAATTGATAGGGCCATTGGAATCTTATTGTTTCAACTGCAAGGCCAGGGGACCTTGTACAGGTGGAGGAAGGGCCATGTTCTCCCGAGGTTAGCTTCACCCTGTGGCCCTGCACCAGAATCCCCAGGGTCCTGTCTGTCTCCACACCTACTGCTCCTCTTGCCCTAATCCCTCTTGCTGCCCCAGGCCCCCTCCAACAGTCTTGACCCATCCTAGTTCCTGTTGAGTCATCCTGAAGCCTGATGGATCTTTCTGGAATGCGCATCTGATCTTAGCGACTTAGTGTCTTTGCCAAGCAGGCCAAGCCCCACTCTCCCCTGCCTCACCTGCAGCCCCTTCAGGCCCTCAGCGGCCTCTGCTACACTTCTGACCCTGGACCTCCCACCGCCCCTCTGCCACCTCCCACTTCAGCATCCCTGGTGGTCTCCCCCTACACCTCCTGGTGGGGTCCCCAGAGACACCTGCTGTGTGTACTTCTGCCCTTCCCCCACTGCAGCCTGGTGATGCTGGGGAGTGTCTTCTGCAATTCCCACCCTGGCCCCAAGTGTAACTGAGAAGCAGACATCTGCAGATAGGGAGACACCTGGCGGGTGCAACCCCAACATCCCCAAATGGTCCGGAGCACCCACTGACTTCCAAACATTGGTTCTGGAACTTTCTAGGTTTTTAAAGATTTATTTTTCTATTTGAAAGGCACGTTAGAGAGAGAGAGATCCTTCATCTGCTGGTTCTCTCTCCGAATGGCAGCAATGACCAGAGCTGGGCCAGGACAAAGCCAGGAAGTTCTCCAGGTCTGCCACGTGGGTACAAGGACACAAGCACTTGCTCAATCTTCTACTGCTTTGCCAGCAGCATTAGCAGGGAGCTGACCAGAAGTGAAACAGCCAGGCCTTGAACCAGCACCCATATGCTGGTATCACAGGCGAAGGCTTAACTTGTTGAACCATGATGTCAGCCCCATGGTCTGGGACTTTCTAATAAATATACAGTAAGTCTGTGTTGCTGACCATGACCTTAGACCCTTCACTATGGCTTTTCTGTAGAAGGAAAAGACAAGGATTATTTTCTTTCTGTGCTAAGGTCATCATGGGAGTGTTTGGTGCATCTAGGATACCCCTTGGGCGGCCCACAGCCCTTCCTGAGTGCCTGGGCGGAAGTCTTAGCTTTGCCCCCAGTTCCAGCTTTCTGCTAATGTGCACCCTTCAAGTCACCGGATGATGCCTCATGTGCTTGGGCCCCTGTCCACCCATGTGGGAAACCCAGATTGGGCTCTGGGATCCTGGCCCAGCTCCAGCTGTTGTGGCCATTTGGGGTGTGAACCAGCAAATAGAAGGTCTCACTTTGCCTGTCTGTTTTACCTCTCTGCCTTCCAAATCAATACACATAAATAAATATATTTCTTTTAAAAAAATAATCAGCTTTGGGTTGTTAAAAAGTGCCCTTGTGAGCAGCCTGCAGGAGCAAGCACACACGAAGTTCCGCCCTGCACCTATATGCATATAACCCTAGCCTGAAACTTTTGAGGTTCACCCAATGGTGAGCAAAGCTTGGCATGAACTCTCCCTGAGGCAGACTAGTAGGAGCTCTGGGAGCTGAAGTCCAGACTGGGGAAAGTGGCTCACCTCGGGGAGCTGTAGACAGCCTGTGCCCATCACCTGCGGGCCAGACCTCCCACACCCTGCAGGACGCTCCAGCCGCCTGCTGTGATCCTGGAGAAGGAAGGAGGAGAGGGAAGTGACAGGTGGGTCTTTTGAGTGCAGGCCAGTGTGAACACAGAAGAGGAAGTTAGCACCCGCCTTGCACCCACCTGCTGCCCCGGGGAATGGAGATAGAGGCTGAGATCTAAGAACACTTCCTGGCCTGTTTCCTCATTAATTCCCCGTGTGCAGATTGGGGACCCTCATCCACCTGCTCCCCACCTGTCCCTCACGCCTCACATCCTTCTCTCTGCAGCTGACGCCCATTATCTCCGACCCTGAGTACCTGCTGGACCAGCACATCCTAATTAGCATTAAGTCATCCGACAGCGATGAGTCCTATGGTAAGAGCCTATGACAGGTGCTGCACCTGCCTGTTGACCCACAGCCTCTGTGGGGAAGGAGGCGGTGGCGTCTCAGGGGAAAGCCCAGCTACTTCCATCCTGCTTTCCTGCTGCTCCTTTGCCAATCTCAAGGCGCCGGAGGGATCATTACAGTAAGTAATCCTACCCGCCCCGTTGGCTTCTGGGAAGCGTAACAGTAGCTGCCAGACCTGTGTTAGCTGAAGTACTCAGAATCTGATGAAAAACTCCAAGTTGGTTAAATTGAGCATTTAAACCTAGGAACAATCAGCTGGCTGTTCTACAAGCCTGGATTTCGCTATTGAGTCTTTTTTTTTTTTTAGGATTTATTTATTTTGTTTAAAAGTCAGATTTACAGAGAGAGAGAAACAGAGAGATCTTCCATTCCTGGTTCACTGTCTCAGCTGCCAGAGCTGGGCTGGTACAAAGCTGAGAGCCCGCAGCTTCTTCAGGTCTCCCACGCAGGTGCAGAGTCCTAAGGACTTGGACCATCCTTCTCTGCTTTCCCAGGCCAAGCAGGGAGCTGGATGGGAAGTGGGGCCACTGAGATTAGAACCAGTGCCCACAGGGGATGCCAGCACCTCAGATGGAAGATGTGCTTGCTACCCACCACACTAACCTGAGGGCTTCCAGTTTTACGTTTTTCTTGCCGAGTGAGTACAAGCATTGAGTCAGATTTAAAACAGTATGGGTAGTGATCAGTTACAGTGAAAACTGAAAAACTCCCCCTTGAAGACTAAAGCATCCCTGGTGGCAGCTAACAGACCTGCTGATTGGTTAGGGAGGCACGTTTCATGGCCCCAACAGAAGAGCTCTCTGTGCAAAGAGGTAACGATGGGGCTGTGATTCACTCCCCCTGCGGACAGAAAGCTTGCTTCCTCTTAAAAAAAAAAAAAAGATTTATTTTTATTGATTTATTTTAATTGGAAAGGCACATATACAGAGAGAAGGAGAGACAGAGAGGAAGATCTTCCATCTGCTGATTCACTCCTCAAGTAGCTGCAATGGCTGGAGCTGAGCTGATCTAAAGTCAGGAGGCAGGAGCTTCTTCCAGGTCTTCCACACAGGTGCAGGGACCCAAGACTTTGGGCTGTCCTTGACTGCTTTCTCAGGCCACAGGCAGGGAGCTAGAAGGGAAGTAGAGCAGCCAGGACACAAACCAGTGCCTCTATGGGGTCCTGCTGGTTGCAAGGCGAGGGTTTCTTCACCAGGCCATTACACCAGGCCCAGCTTGTTCCCTCCGAAAGCATGGTGGAGGTTTCTGGAAAGGTCTTGTGACATGGGGATCAGTGGTAGGGCACCTGAGAGCAGGACAGCAGGGACAGCGTCTGACTGACTTTGACCTCTGTGGTCACCATTGCAGTCTTGGCCTCCCATCTACTGAGCCTTTGTCACTCCCCAGAGCTGGGCCTGGCACCCTGCAGGTGTTATTTCATTCAATTCCAACAAGATCTTATGAACCAAGGTACTGTTCTCCTAATTCATGGATGAGTACCTGGAGGCTCAGTGGTCAGGTCACACAGATAGTAGTGGTCTGTGTCCTCATCTGAACCAGGTGTGCCTGCACCACTGTACCACTCACCACACATACCCCCACCCCTCCTGAGAAAGTCTCTAGAACACTGCTGAGGCTCCATGAGGTAGGACCCTGAGTGTGACTTAGGGTGGTGGACATATCTGCCCTGCTGTCTCCTGTCACCTGTAGTCAGTGCTGCCCAGTGTCTGGGTTCAGCAGGCTGTGCGGTCCTGTAGATGCATCTTCTGTGTCATTAGAGACACCCAAGGTCTTAGTTAACACCCTTAACCTCTGCTCAGTTCCTGTCCTATGCCAGGTTCACCGTTGTACTTAGCTGGAGTGGAGCATGAGAGAGCAGGTGGCCCGAGAGAAAGGCTAAGGACAATAGACCAGGTAGCTCTTGGCCGGGATAGCAGGGAGCCAGTGAGGACTTGAGCAAGACAGCAGCATGATCAGATTTGCCTCTTACAAATCTGTATTGCCAGAGAGGAAGTGAAAGGAGAAAGGGGGAGGAGAGGGAGAGGCTTCAGTGGCGAGGTGTTGCAGGGGGCGATCATGTGGCCATGAGGAGTAGGGGCTGTGGGTAAAGATGGAGCCACACTTGGATTTGCACAGCTGGGTTAACAATGTCCCATTTCCGGCCCTGGGATCAGTCAGAGGAAACAGACATGGCCAGCCAGGGAGGCCGGGAGGAGAGCAAATGTGTCAGGTGGGGGACCTCGCTGGGAGAGACCGTGGACACAGCAGCAGATGTGGCAAGAGGGCAGGGACATAATGAGGGAGCAGTGTCCCTTAGGCCAAGGGGCCTTGGGCAGGAGGGGGAGGATGGCACAGATGCAGGGTAGTGATGCCTTCCAACGCCAGCAGTTGACGCTTCCTCATGCTCCGGACTGCGCACCTGTCAGGGTGTTCTTGAGAAGGCTATCTCTATAGATCTTGCCACATCCAAGGGTACGAGGTCCGCCCCCTTCCTTGCTGGCATTTTGTGCTAACTTCGTGCCTTTTAGGAACACTTTACTGCTTCATTAACTTGCATTTCTCAGGCTAAGAAGGCAGGACTACTTCTCAGTTGCTGAAGCCAAGCAGTCTAGTCTCGCGACAAGCCTCTGTCAGGATGATTTGCTCATTTGTCTGCTGGGGACGTTCCCAGGGTTCAGCTCTGACATGACCTTGTCTGTGACACTGGCTGCAGGTGCCACTCCCAGTCAGTTTCCTTATCACATCAGTTACTTCCTTTGTGCACAACTTTGTAACTTGTACATCCTCTGACCTACCTGTCTGGCATTATTTCTTGCATTGCTTCTTACACATAGACACACATACACACCACATGGCAATCTGGCTAGCCTTCAATTCTGGCTTTCTGTTGGATGTTATGCAATTTAATTTCTATTTTATTTGACATGGACTAATCCAGGTGGTGCTTACGCGTATAAGCTTTGAGATGTGTGTCCCTTATCACTCAAGCTTTCTTGCAAAGACTGAAAGAAACAGATTCTCGTCCAAATGACTACACCCAGGAGCCAGGAGCTCTGTCCGGGTTGCCCAATTGGGTGCAGGGGCCCCAGCATTTTCTCCATCTTCCACTGCTTTCCCAGGAGCATTAGCAGGGAGCTGTATCCAAAGCAGAATTGGTCAGACTCAAACTCGGGCCCTGATGTGGGACACCACTGCTACGGGTGGAGGTTTAACCCTCTGCACCACAACTCTTGCTCCCTGGAGGGCTGACTGCAGGATCCCTGCCGAGCCCGCTGGCGTTTCTCAGGCGAGCAGAGGCCAGATCCTGATGTGTCTCTTGTCTTTTCCTCCCCTCAGGCGAGGGCTGCATCGCTCTGCGGTTAGAGGCCACGGAAACACCACTGCCCATCCACACGCCCCTCACACACCATGGGGAGATGACAGGCCACTTCCGCGGGGAGATCAAGCTACAGACCTCGCAGGGCAAGAAGCGGGAGAAGCTGTACGGTAAGCTGGCCCGTGCCATCCTGGGCGAGGTTTGGTGCCCTCCATGTGGCCTCGGGACGTGAGCCCAGCCTGGGCCAGGGCCCCCGCTGCAATGTCAAACCCTCCGCTGAGTCAAGGGTCTCCCCACACAGCCAGGGCTGGCCCTTGCCATCCTCCAAGTGACAGCTGCAAAGACCCAGGGCTTGTGACACTCTGGGACCGCCACTTCTCCTGGCCTCTTGGTGTCACCCCTGTTAGTGCCTCTGCCATTTACCAATTAGGAAGCAACATGGCCACACGATTCAGCACAGGAACAGGAAGCTGCATCTTAAGATATTGGGGTATTGGCCGATTCAGTGCTGAGATCAAAGCTGTCATTACTCTGTATGGAGAATATGGAAATGTGGCCAAGAGACCTGACAACAGAGTGATCCGTAACAGTGCATCTGGACTCCACCTTGAGATTTTTTTTAAAGAAGAGTTATTCTTTTCCTTGAAAGGGGAGATTTAGAGATGATAACACAGGGAGATCTGCCACTAATTCGCCCCCCAGATGTCTGCAATGGCTGGGGCGAGTACATGCTGAAGCCAGGATCCTGGAATGCCATCCCTGTGTCCCACACGGGTGGCAGGGACCCAAGCACTTGAGCTGTCACCGTTGCCTTCTCGCTAGCAGGGTTGGAAGCAGTGCACCCGGGATTCCAATCTCCCCTAGCTGGTATCAGCTGCCTGGGTGGCAGCTTAGTGTGAGGCACCACGATGCTGGTCCTTGGGTTCATCCTTTTCTCTCAATGATGTCCCAAATGTTGAAACTTGAAAAGTCATTAAATTTAGACCTGCCAAAAGGATCTGTCACATTAACGCTTCCTTGAGATGCCACAGGGTTTGACAGGGACAGAGCTGCCGTGAGCATTTCTTCCCATCCCTTTCTTCTTTCCCCTTAATGCCTGCTCCAAAGCACTCATGAAGCAACGTCTATGATGAGTTGGACTTGAACCAAATACCTGAGAATGTGGGAACTGAACAAACCATACAGCTCCTCTCATTGGCCTCACATCACAGCTTGGGAGCAAAGACTCTCCTTGTCTGGGAGATGGGGGCACTGAGGCAGCACCAGGTTACATGATTGACCAAATGTTGTCTACCTAGCAGGTGCTGAGCCGTGACTCACGGGTGCACTGCTTCCCTGCCTCCACAGTGAATAGCAAGGGGACAGAGCCCCTTCCGCGCACAGGGGATGGCACCCCTGCTTGTCTGAACCCCAGGTGCTACCTCCTGTGCCTGTGGCGCCCCCTTCTGGCCACAAAACCTCTTTTTCCAGCAGAACAGTAGGTCACAGCAGCTCTGTAACCCTGAACCAAGTCAAAAATGAAGGAGGGGGTCTCAGCTCCCCCCTACCCCATGAGCAGCTTGGTTTTCAGGATAGGTGCTGTGCTAGAGCCCCTTGCATGAATTTGTCATGTTCTGATCTGACGGGAAGCATTTGCCTGTTCTGCCCTTTGCTGAGGACACCAAGTTGGGTGACATGGCAACCCCAGGTCACATGTACCAATCCTCCTCGCTCTGGGACCATGGCCCTGAACTCTCAGAAGTTCTTGCAGTCTTTCTAAACCCAACCCCATCCCCCAGCCCAGCAGCCATTATTCCCTGCCCAGCTTGCACCTGAACACAAGGCTGTTTGGCCTCACCTGGCCTCTTTCTCACACACACTGTTTATTGGCTCTTGTCTCCCAGACTTTGTGAAGACGGAGCGGGATGACTCCAGCGGGTTAAAGTCCTTGAGGAGCCTCACCAGCCACGACTCTGGGAAGCAGTGGGAGCCAGCTGGCAGGTAGGGCATTGGGCACCGAGACTGGTGAAACAGTGGGAACCAGCTGGTAGGTAGGGCATGGGGCACTGGGACTGGTGATGCTGGCAGAGCTCCTGGTTGGAATGCTCAGCTCAGCTCAGCCAACATTCAGGGAGCACCTACTCAAGTCAGGTCCCTGAGAGACAGGGGGAGGAGGAGGTGCAGCGCCTGACCTGGGAGCCCACTGCCACCCAAAAACTGACCGCAGAGAACACCAAGTGACAACAAATGGACAAGAGAGATCATGAGGGAAGCACATGTCTGTTGCTCTTCACAAGAGAATGTCTTGGTTGGGAATAATCCAGATGTTCAAGTTTCAAGTTTGTGCTAATGTGGCCTTGAGGACCAGGACTTTGCCAGCGCACCTGCTGATGGGGCAGAGGTGTGCCAGGTGCAGGTGCAGCTGTTCCTCTCCACCCCACAGGCCCTATACTGCGTGTCCTCCAGCCCTTGCCTCACCCCGCCTCACCCCCTATGCACACCCTCTCCTTGGTCTACTTCCAACTGCAAATGGTCAAAGCCATGGGTAAGGCAGAATTCCTGCCCAGCCCTCTTCCAGTAGTTCCTCATGTTCAGTCACCACCCAGAAATATTACTGAATGGAAAGTTGCAGAAAGAAACCATTCTTAGGTTTCCAACGACTTTCACTGCAGCAGTTATTACCACTGGTTCCACTTTATCGTTATCTGTCCTTGCTAATTCTCTTCCTGTGCCTCTTGTATAAATTAAACCTTGTCAGAGGTACGTAGGTCCATGAAAAACATAATGTACAAGCATACTTCCAAAAGTTCATGCAAAAAAAATAACTTCTGAAAAAGCTGTGCATGAATTTCAAAACACTTTTGCACAAAAACGAATTTATCTCTTAACCACGTTTTTCGGTGAACTTTTCGGAGTTGTTCATCTAGAGAGTTTCATGCTATCATAGGTTCAAAACTCTGTTGAGGTCTTAAAACCCATGGGAGGGGTCATTGTCCCACAGCCCCGCCTCTGTTTGTCCATCCCACAAAAACAGAGACCACAGCCACTATGTTGAGGACCACATTTCCTCCTCCTGGCCTGGGGCCCGGTGCTTGCTAGGTCCTCAGTAACTCAATGAGTAAGTGAATGAATGTTCAGAAGTGAGAGCATAAGGCCATCAGAGGACACTGTCCCCGAGCTGGGGCTGACCCCCAGGAAAGACAGGGACCCTAAGGTGTGCCTCCATGTCTAATCACAGGGCCCCTCCGTGCAGCGGTCCCAACATCACCGAGATCATCAACCCCAACTACATGGGCGTGGGGCCCTTCGGGCAGCCGATGCCCCTGCACGTGAAGCAGATGCTGTCCCCTGATCAGCAGCTCACAGCCTGGAGCTATGACCAGCTGCCCAAGGACTCCTCACTAGGGCCCGGCAGGGGAGACAGCCCCCCGACACCTCCCTCCCAGCCGCCCCTGTCACCAAAGAAGTTCTCATCCTCAACAACGAATCGGGGGCCCTGCCCCAGGGTGCAGGAGGCCAGGTGAGAGCCCTCCTCTGTCTTCCTCTCCCTGCTTACAACAGCCCCCCCGACCACAGGCTCTTGCCCTGGACAGCAGCCATGGGGGTAGGGGCTTGTGTCTGCTTCTCTCTGTCTCCAGTCCTGGAACCCAGTAGGCACTCAGGACCTGTTTGTGGAGTATCCTCGATCCTAACCCATTGGTACAGCTTGAATGTAGAGAAGGGAGGAGACAGTGTTTGGCACAGTGGTTAAGATGCCTGTGTCCTTGGGCCAGCGCTGTGGCATAGTGGGTGAAGCTGTCAGCTGTAATACCAGCATCCCATATGAGTATTAGGGCTATTCCACTTCCAATCCAGCTCCCTGGGAAAGCACCTAGGAAAGCTGCAGAAAATTAGCCAAGCTCTTGGGTCCCTGCACCCACATGGGAGTTTCAGGTGGAGTTCCAGGCTTCCTAACTTTGGCCTGGCCCAGCCCTGGAAGTTGTGGCCATTTGGGGAGTAAATCAACTAATGGCTAATTTTCTGTCTCTCTGTGTGTGTTTCTCTGCTAATCAAGTGAAAAATAAAAACAAGGAGATCATTTTAAAGATGCTGCCAAGAAAAGCAACCTCTTATAAAACAGTATTTGTTCCAAATGTGTTCCCAGAGCCATGAACTCTCTGGCCTTTCTCCCTCCCTGGAGGCCCCAAGGGAACAGAGTTAGGAATTTTCCAGTAAAAGATCCTCCCACTGTAGGCCCCCTTTCTTTTCTGTACCATAAGGAGGAGAAAGGACCGATACGGTGCCTTCTGTCCTCTCCTGACAGACAGGCAGGTGCTGCAGGACTAGGAGCCGAAAGGCACATGGAGCAAGCAGGCAGCGTGTGCAGGGAAGAGGTCTGGGCCTGGAAGCTCCTGGGGAAGCCCATGCAGTTCAAGGGGCTACTCTGAGCCAGGAGCTGGTGCAGCCAGCGGCTGGAGCCATCCATGCCTGACCCCCCCCCCCCCCAAGGCATAACCTCTCAGGTACTTCTCAGGTCTGCCCCTGCCCCTCACACACACTGCCCAGAACCAACCAACGCCAGCCCCTGAGCTGCATGGGATACCAACAGTTATCAATGCCCCCAGGAGTTGAGGGGGTGCAGACATGCAAGGGCAAAGTCTAGCCTTCCCTGGCAGGCGTCTTTACTGCTTTGTGATGACAGCAGTGGCTGGCTCCGCACCTCCTTCCCCTAAGCCTGGAGAGATGGCTTCATGGTGCTGCCTGCACCTGCCTGTCAGGAACCTGCAGAGGGCAGGAGCCAGCGTGGGCCATAGCACAGCCTCCTTGGGCTTCTCCAGGGCCACCCTTCCATGTCCCACCTGGCTGGGGTCTCCTGTGCGTGGAGGAGCAGCTGACAGTTTTGTCTTTAAGCTTCTCCTATGAAGAGTAGGTGGGTGAGGGAGGGGAGGGATAAGGACAGGCAGGAAGTAGCAGGTGGGAACAGGATGATGTTTAAGATCTTGGTTCTTCCCTGAGAAGAGAGAGAAGGCAGACAACCTCAGTGTCCAGCCCTGGAGCAGTGAGCACCGAAGGTACTGTCCAGTGGGAATGGAGGTACCTGGTTGGCCATGGTCCTGGGACATAGAGCTAGAAGTGACTGACAGAGGATGAGGACTTTGACTAGTTAAGTTGAGGTGTTTAGGCTCCTAGAGCCAGTGTGCCATAGTAATTGCTGGTCTATACCCCATTCAGCCTGGCCAAAGCGTTCTGCCCACACTGTGAAGCAGGGCTCCCTCATCACCCATCAGGTGCTTAGAGGCGAGAGTCTGTAATGCCCACTGCTCTTGCTCCTCTGCCCCAGGCCCCCAGCTCAGCCAGCCTGAGCCAAGGCTTTGGGAAAGAAGCCATTCCCAGCGCTGTTCCCATTACCCCCAGGGTCCCAAGGCTGGGGACCAGCCACCGTGGGTAGCCCTGCATGTGAAAGGCACCCATGTCCGAGGAGAGACTGCAGTCCTGCCCTTCCGTGCTGAGTGAGCAAGGACGGTAGGTCAGCCAGAGCTAAACTGTGCCGTGCAGAAGGGGCTTGGCATCTGCAGGGTCGCTTGGCATCTGCAGGGTCGCTTGACACAGAACTCACTGCCCTGGTGCCATTCCTGTATTCAGCAGCCATGGGCTGCTTGGCACCTGTGGGCAGAAAATAGTCTCACATTTGAATTTTGTGATTACCCCTACCCCAACCCCTGCTGTAAAGGTTCCCCTCCACCTGCTGCCCTGCTCCCCAGCTGCCTGGTATGACACAAGCTGTCCCTGGGGCCCACATCTGTTCCCCAAAAGTAATTAGAAGTCGGCTGGGGTATGACTGCCGAGCAATAAGTGGCAGACAGCGTGGCCAGAACACTTCCATGGCTCCCAGGGTGAGAGTAGGGGAGTCATGCTGCCCTCACACCAGCTTTCTTTTCTGCAGAAAGTGGAATCCACAACACTCACCTAGCAGGATGATGCCACTGGCATCGGAGCCCTCATAAGGGGCGTTCACAGCCCTGGTGCTCGCACACTGCTCAGCACTGACCTCCTCAAGTCAGGGCACACTAACAGGGTCAGCCAGAGGCCACTGCCGCCCAGGTGACATTCCATCCCTGGCCCTCAGACTGTCGTCACCACTGGGAGTTAGGAAGGAGCCCTCTCAGGAAAGGACTTCACTTGCAGGGGAGAGGTCAGTGTTGAGTGGGACTATTGGTCCCCTGCACTCAGTCTGGGCTCTTTGGCTGTGCTTGGTGGATGGTGGTCCTGAACACAGATCCTCAGGTAGCACGAATGGTTGCCGAGGAGGAGGGCAGATGATCCGCAAGGTTCCCCTTCTCCTGAGGGTTCAAGTGGATTTGCTGAGAACAGCAGAGGGGAGGCTGCGAGTCCTGGAAAAAGCCGGGATGCGGGGAGGATTCTGGCAGTCGTAGGGGACTGGGGTGTGGAGCCTAGGCTGATATTGGGGTTCCATGTAGATCCATTCTTTCCTTTCCTTTCTAAAGCCCTGCCCTTGCTCACTGATGCTCTTCTGGGATCAGTTTTGGGGGCAGGAAAGGTCCTAAGCCAGACGGAAGGCAACATACGGATGACAGAAGCATGTCTTCTCCTTTTGCCTTTTCATTTTATTTGAAAGGCAGAGAGACAGAGAGGGGAAGCTTCCTGCATCTGCTGGCTTACTCCCGTCCCAACACCTGCAGCGAGCCAGGGCTGAGCCAAGCCAAGGCCAAGAGCCCAGAACTCAGTGCACCTGCTGCCTCCTGGGGTATGTGTTAACAGGAAGCTGTCAGAGGGGAGGAGCCAAGACTCGAACCAGTCGCTCCCATATGAGGCACAGGCACTAACTCATGTGCCAAACACCCACCCCTCTTCTTGATTTCTGTCTCTCAAGGTGAAATTTGCATGACATAAAATCAGCCATTTCGACATGAACAGTTAGGTAATCACCGTGTTATGCAATCAACACCCCTCACATGCTCCACCCCCAAACAAAAGCCTAAACCCCCAAAACAGCCTGTGCCCTCATGTGTCCGCTCTGTCACATCCTAGGCCTGGTGACCTGGGGAAGAACACAGTCGAAGCCTGCCCACAGGACGACCTGCAGCCGACCAAGCCGGAGATGTTTGAGAACCCACTGTATGGCTCCGTGAACTCCTTTCCTAAGCCGGTTCCCAGGAAGGAGCAAGAGTCCCCTAAACTGCTGAGGAAGGAGCCCCCGTCCTGCCCGGACCCCGGGCTCCTATCACCCAGCATTGTGCTCACCAAAGCCCAAGAGGGTGAGGGAGGCAAGGGCCCGGGCAAGCAGGCCCCCGTGCCTCCCGTCTGCCCAGCGCCCCGGCTGCGCTCCTTCACCTGCTCCTCCTCCGCAGAGGGCAGGGTGGCCAGTGGGGACAAGAGCCAAGGGAAACCCAAGGCCCCGGCCGGCTCCCAAGCCCCCGTGCCAGCCAAGAGGCCCATCAAGCCCTCCCGGTCAGAAATGAGCCAGCAGCAGTCCGGGTCCCTGTCGATGCCGCCCACTCCATCCCCGAGGCCACCCCTGCCTGTCAAGAGTCCAGCTGTGCTGCACTTGCAACACTCCAAGAGCCGTGACTACCGTGAGAACACCGAGCTCCCCCACCACGGCAAGCACCGGCCAGAGGAGGGGCCGCTCAGCAGGACCACCATGCAGGTGGGTCCCCGTTGATGCTCGTGTGTGCCGAGCATACAGCTGTGTGTGCTGTATTCGTGTGTGTGTTCTGGGGTGTGTGCTGTGAGCATCCTGGGAGCTGTCCCAGGAGGAAGGGTTGGGATCAGAATATTTTTTCAGTTAGAAAAGGGGTATTTTTATTGGAAAGGTAGAGAGAAAAATCTCCTATCCAATGGTTTACTCCCCCAAATGCCTTCAGTAACAGGCTGCACTGGCCAAAACCAGGAACCGGAAACTCAGTTCTGGTTCTCCAACAAAGAGAGCAGGGACTCAACTACTTGAATGTTTACCTGCTGTCCCCCAGGATCCAAATTAACATGAAGCTGAAATCAGAAGTGCAAGTGGAGGGCTGGCGCCATGGTGTAGCCCAGTGAGCCTCTACCGTGTGCTGACACCTTGTATGGGTGCTGGCTTGTGTCCTGGCTGTTCCACTCTCAACCCAGCTCCCTGCTTGTGGCTTAGGAAAGCAGTGCAGGATGCTCCAAAGCCTTGGGACCCTGCACCCACATGGGAGACCCGGAAAACACTCCTGGCTTTTGACCGGGCAAGCTCCCACCATTGTGACCATTTGGAGAGTGAACCAACAGATGGAACTCTCTCTCTCTCTCTCTTTCTTTCTCCCTCTTTCTCAACTCTGCCTTTCAAATAAGAATAAAATAGGGTTTTTGAGAGAATTCAGATGCATTATTTTCCTCGTTTCTTTAAAATTTACTTCTTTTTAATTTGGTATGTGTTTGTTTACGAGGCAGACAGAGATGTCCACTTGGGCTGCCCCCTGCTGCCTCCCCAGGTACACAAGCAGAAGCAAGTGCAGAATCAGAGCTTGGACGTGGGCTGCAACCATTTCTCCCTCAAACACATGTTTCTAAGTAAAACTAGCAGTAACCAAAGCACAGACTCCATGTGGGATTCAAATCCCACTTCCTGGGCCTGCATCTCGAGTCCCAGTTTCTCTTCTATAGAAACGGCTGCTCCTGGCGCATCCCTCATGCAGGCGGAGAGTGCTGGGGGTCCATCATGTACCAGAACATGTTTGTGCTGTCCGTGGGATCCGGGGCTGCCAGCTCCAGGGCCTTGTGGATGCCAGTGTCCACAGACCCCAAGTCCCTTCTACAATAGCATCCTGTTTGCATGTGACATGCACACAATCTTCCACACACTTCAAGTCCTCTCTGGATTTCTTAGCATCCCCAATGCAATGTAAATGCAAAGAAATAGTTGTTGTACTGTGTTGCTTAGGAAATGATAACAAAGGGGAAAAAATCTGTACATTTTGAGTACAGATGCCATTTGTGTATTCTTCCTTAAGATTATTTATTTTCAGTTGAAAGACAGAGTTTCAGAGAGAGAAGGAGGGAAAGAGAGAGATCTTTCATCTGCTGGTTCATTCCCAGATGGCCGCAACAGCCAGAGATAAGCCAGGCTGAAGGCAGGAGCACAGAGCTGCTTCTTCCAGGTCATCCGTGTCGATGAAAGGGCCTTCAAACATTTGGGCCATCTTCTGTTTCATTCCCAGGCCACAAACAAAGGACTGGATCAGTGCCCAGATGGAAAGCCAGAGGCTTAACCTACCATGCCACAGCACCAGCAGTTTACTTTTTGAATATTTTCTGTCTGTGATTGAATGTCTGCGTGTATAGGTATACATGGGGCAGTAGAGTATCTATAACTGACCATAAGAGGACTGCAAAAAGTTCTTGGAAAATGTCTTTGTAAAAGTTCTCCTTTTTTATTCTACTTGCAAAACAGAGAGAAAGCTCCTTTCCTCTCTTCTATCTCAGGACGCCCACAACAGCCAAGGCTGGTACAGGCTAGAGGCAGGAGCTGCCACCTCCATCCCATGGAGGGCAGAGAGCCAACCACTAGAGCCATTGCCTTCCTGCTCCCAGAGTGGGCATAGCAGGAAGAACTCCAGAAATGGTCCTGCTGTGTGGGGATAAGTGGGTCTTCCCTGCTCGGCCAGTGCCCATCCCTGCATGACCCTTATATTCCACTTTCCGAGCATGTTTGCAAGCCTGCTGGAGTGTTAGGAATGTGAGTCCTGGCTTCTTGCAGCCCTGTGATAAAGGAGGCCTGTCTGGGGCCTCAGCATGTGGGGATGTGGGCATGCAGGGGCCTTCAGGGAGCCGAGTCCTGGTGCCAATGACAGCCTTTCTGTTCTTGTCCTGCAGTGAAGCCCTGGGGGAGCTGCTGGCAGTTCAGGCTGGGAACCTGGAGGAGCAGCCGAAGCCGCCCACCGCCTCGCCTAAGACCTCCTGCCAGCCCCTCGCCTCTCCCAGCTTCCCATGTCAGGCTTTGCAACTCTTAGGAAAAAGGGCCCAGCTTCTGTGTGGCCTGAGCAGTTCACTGGCTGCCAAGCTGGGCACCATTACTGAGGGTGGAAGGGAAAGCACACACAAGTGCCTGGGGCCCCAGCTTGGCCTTGGTACTGGGGACCCCTGTGCCTTAGTCACACCCCCATTTCTAGAAAGGACCCGAAGTACCAGAGTGCTCTCCAGGGTGGAGAGACACATTATCATGATAATAATATGAATATGAATAATAATAATGATGGCCACACGGCTCAAGCACTCACTGTGTGCCACGTGCTGTGCTAAGTGCTTCAGGAACATTCTGTTGGGTCTCTCTCCAGAGCTGAGACTGTAACCCACTAAACACACATGCCCAACCCCGCCCCCAGTGGATGCTCATATGTCCTGAGGGGTTGGGACAAAGCATTAAGAAGGCCAGTGCCCACCTGGAGCAAGGCCAGGGCTCAACCTGCAGGGAGCCAAAGGGGCTGAACTGCTAACTGAGGGTGCAGGAGCCTGGCCCTGTGCTGCTTCCACAGTGCAGGTGCTTTCACCAACGCCCAGGGATCCTGGCCCCGCCTGCGCTAGTGGAGGGATCTGCCTGGCTTTCCCGGCCTATTCCGGGTCCCTGTGCCAGGCTGCCTTGTGTCTGTCGAGGTGGACAGCCACCACTGGGCCTCTGGCGCTCACATGCTGCACCAGTGGCCGTGTGCGGTTGCTGCTGAGCGCCAACTGCCTTGGAGGCTGGGGAGCTCAGGTTCCCGGCTCCCCGAAACAAAGCAGCCTCTTCCTTCCCAGCTCATGGCTTCCAGCCCCACACCCCCAGCTACTAGAGAATAGATCGGTCATGTCTCTTCTTGTACTGCTTTTTGATATAATGGAGTTAAGGGTGGAAACTCAACCCAGTTGTGTGTGTGTGCCTTGTGCATGTGTGCGTGTGTGTTCAAAGGTCTCCAACCGTGTGACCAAATAAACTGTGCCTTTCTCACTCAGGCTGTCTGTGTGGTATCTCCTCCCAGCCCCGACACTAGGAGCCCCACACGTGTTTCCAGGCTGACAGCAACAGCAGGGGACAGAGGGTTTGTGGGATGACAGGAAGGTTTGGCCACCGCCATAGAGGCAGTTGGAAGCCAGGGATGGACAGGAACAGGGATGGACATCAGTCCCCACATACACGCCTCTGCCAGCCTGCAGGAGTGTCCCTCCAGTATGTACAGGCTGTCCTCCAGTCCATGAGTATCCCCCAAATTGATCAAGATTCACCCCTCAGACACATGTTAAATCTTCCCCAGGTCATGGGCTGGCTTGTGGGGCAGGCATCAGCCTTGGAGACCTGCCTAGGACCCAGCACTGGTGGGGCCTGATCCCACCTGCAGGGTGCTGTGGCAGGCACTGCCTCTCAGGACGCTCGGAGACCCCAGGCCTGGGCTCTAGACATAGCCTGAGAGACTAGCATCACTGAATAGCCGCAGAGCAAACCATTCCTGCCACAGTGATGGCCAGTGGACCTGTGGCAGGAGACCATGGGAACCTCCATACAGGCTCACTTCCTGGTCCCGAAGGTGAACCGGACCCATGGCCTCCAGGAATCTCAGCTTTCTGGCCCAGTAAACCAAGGCCAGGGTAGAGAGGCAGCTGGAGACACCCAGCTCCTCTTCAGGCTTTTGGGAGCTAGGGTATTGATGCCCTTGGCCCCTGGGTGCTAGCATGGGCTGCACCATGCACCTGTGCCTGCTCCCCACCTGAGCACAAAGGGCTGGAGCCTCACATGCTTAGGAGGTGGGTGTCCAGGACGTCCTCACACTGCTGCTGGGGATCCTGGGAGAAGCGCAGAGGGAGGCAGCAGCAGGGGGCATGCCCGACACGCTATTGCTTTGCTCTGAGTCCAGTTGCTGTGCATGCAGACCTGGCTGTGACAGCTGGCAGCCAAGCCCCAACGCCCAGGACCACGCCACCTGAGAACATGCAGCTGGTCCTTTCCATGTCTCGGCCCTGCACCCTCCCCAAAAGCTTCCTCCCTGTGCTCCTGGCTGCCACCATCTCTTGGGGACACCTCCAGCCACCTCTCCTGAATTCTGTCATCGCTCAGACAACCTAGTGCAAGGGGTGGGAGGGACCCCAGACATCCTGCATAATTAACTTCCCACTCCCTCCTGAGCTCAGTAACCAAGAGGGCAGCCAATCAAAATTCCTGCAGTCGAGGTGAAGTCTGCCGTGCCTGAGGACTGCAGACACTGGGCCAGACATCCGTCCTGTTAGGAAGCAAATCTTTCCTTCGTTGAGTGGTTATACAACAGCAGTGTTTTCGCCAACAGGGAGGTGTTGTTATCACAATGGACAGTCTGTGGCAGCAATAGCGGCCCCCAGCATCTCCCCACACTGCCTGCCACCTGCAAGGTCAGGGTCGGCCCTCCAGCTCCTCCTCCTGCCGGAGTGTCAGTTCTCTTTCAGGACCATTTCTTTTTTTCACTCCATAGGAGAGAAATTAGTGAGTCATTCAGAAAAGCTCTCCCACAGCTACCTTCCCTTAACCCCAGCTTCCCAGGTTCCTGTCTCCACTCCTCCTTAAAATAGCTCCTTTCTTTCTGCAAACTAATTTCCATGGCGACCCAGTCAGGGGAAGGGCCCAAGCTTTCTACAAGGCAGCTCAGCTCCCAGCTTGTGCCAAGACAGGGTCCCTTTATGATGCAAATTCTGCCCACCCCCACAGACACCCCCAGAGCACAGCTTTGAGAAAACTGCCCCCAGGGCACAGCACATTGGCAGGCAGGACCCAGGGGTGGATGCTTTCCTTGCTGGTCAAGTTCTAATGGGGTAGCCAGCCTGCTCAGGTCACCTCTCTCCGGGTCCCCACAGACCCAGCCACTGGGCCAGCCAGGCAGTCATTTAAGACAGTCTGTTTTCCTCATTTGCTCAACCCTGTGTTGAATAGTAACTGCTGAACCTTACAAGACAGCACTTTCACTAAGAACAGCCAGGAGTCAGACAGAATAAACTCATTTTATTTATTTGAAAGATAGTTACCAAGAGGAGGAAGAGAGAGTAAGAGAGAGAGAGAGAGAGAGAGGCTCATGCACTGGTTCACTCCCTAGATGATCTCAACAGCTAAGACTGGGACGAACCAAAACCAAGAGTCTGGAACTTCTTCCAGGTCTCCCTCATGAGTGCAGAAGCACAAGACCCTGGGCCTTCCTCGACTGTTTTCCCAGGTGCATTAGCAGGGAGCTGGATGAAGGGGAGCAGCCAGGACTCAAACTGGTGCCTGTGCAGGATACCAGCATCACAGGCTGGGGGTTAACCCTTTTGCCATAATGCCAGCCCCTAATAGAATAGGTTTCAGTATCTTGTCCTTTATTTCCTAAAAATGAGTTCTGGCATGGACTACTTCCGAGCCTCAGGTCCCTCATCTGTAAGACTGAGAGAAGGAGAACATGGGTGAGTGTTGCAAGGATTCATTACGTGTGTCTCTGGGCTCCAGACATCACCACCTCCCATCCCCCTGGGGGACAAGGCCGTGTGGGAGGGCACTGTAGGTGCCATCCAAAAGGGTCGGAGAGAAAATATCTCTCCACGCAATGATGGTGAGCTGAGCTTTCCCAGACTGTCAGATGTTCTAGAAGGAGGTAAAGGCAAGAGCATGAGTCAAAAAAAAAGGGGGGGGGGCAAAAAATTCAGGTGCAAGGTGAGGTTGTGAAAAACTTGGGAGGCAAGGAGTTCATTGAGGTCAAGGAGACAGAGCAACCAGAGAAGACTGGCTGAGGGCAGATTGGGTCCCTCGAGGCGAGGAGATGACTTGAGATTCGTCAAACTAATTGAGGAGGGAGGACTTGTAGCCAAGCAGGGCAGAGAACTAGTTGAAACCGGAAAATTAATTGAAGCCAAGGAGGAGTTAGTTGAAACTAAAAGGGCTAGTTGAAGCCAGGAAGGTGAGTTGAGACTAGGTAGGCTAGTTGAAGTCAATTGGATTGCCCTAACTGTGTAAAGCACAGTTGTTTCAATTATTGTGTCAATGGGAACAGATTCTGGGATGTGGGGCAAGCCCTCAGGCAGGGCTGGCCGCATGTCATAGGGCAGTGAGGGCAGGACCCAGGGGGCGTGCTGGCAGATCCAGCTCTGGGCAGTGGCGGCAGGACCGAGGGGCAGTGTGGGCAGGACCCAGGGTGCATGCTGGCAGATCCAGCTCTGGGCAGTGAGGGCAAGACCCAGGAGGCATGTGTGGGCAGGACCCAGGGGGCATGCTGGCAGATCCAGCTCTGAGCAGTTTGGGCAGGACCCAGGGGGCGTGCTGGCAGATCTAGCCGCTGCTCTTTCCTTCTGCCTTGGCAAATTAATGACACCGTCCTGTTTCATTCTGCAGGGAGCCAGTTGGGGTTTTGGGGCAGACAGTGACCACTTGCTCAGGGAGATCTGAATGAGGCTGGGTCAGCACCATGACATAAGGAGGTAAGGCTGCCACCTGCAGCACCAGCATCCCAAATGGATACCAGTTCAAGCCCTGGCTGCTCCGCTTTCCTGCCAATGTACCTGGGAAAGCAGTGCAAGATGGTCTCCACATGGGAGACCAGAAGGAAACTCCTGGCTCCTGGCTCCTGGCTTCAGTCTGGCCTAACTCTGACTATTACAGACATTTGAGGAGTGAACCAGTGGGTGCAAGATCTTTCTCTGTGTCTCTATGTAACCTTGCCTCTCAAATAAATAAATCTGTAAAAGAAAGAGAAGGGGAGGGAAGTGAAGCTTGTAGAATGCAAAAGGGGTCAGGTAGCATTCTCAGGTGCCTGCCCTAAGCGTGAACCACCTCGAATGTGAGCATTCTCCACTCCATTCCCATCACCTCCCCTTGGGAGCAGCTGCTGAAGTGAGAGACCGAGAGGAGCTGAATCACCCTGAAGAGAGCAGGCCATGATTCATTCTGCAGTCCTGCCAAGGTCTGGAAGTGTTATAGGAACCGAGAGTTCTGGCTGGGATTGGAGAGCCTCTCCAGTTAGATTTAGTCCAGGCTCTTGTCTTCCTGGCACATAAGAATGTAGCCAGAAGACACAGCAAGAAGGGAACAGAGGGGTAAGATTTATAGAAAGGCAGAAAGACAGCACACACTCAGCCATGAGTACAGGCGACCACGCGACAGCGGACAGCCGCCACCGAGGCTGGGATCATCCTCCTACAGGGCATGGGTGGTGCTCAGGGGAGGTCATGAGGGAGATGGGATCTGGAGCTGGGTTGCAGTGCACATGGTAGTCCCCAAGCAGGCATCTCTGTCCCCTGTGCCTGATGTAAGCTGAGGCGTGATGGGCGGTGGGTGTGCCAAGTCCTCAGCCACACTGAATGTGACATGAAAGGGGGTGCTTGGCTGTGTGCCTGGCTTGGGTGTTGGCAGTCCCTAGCTCCTTCTCCTTTCCTGACTCCCTGCCTCACCCACTTTGGAAGGAGAAAAGGGGGAGGGCGTGCAGGTGGCAGAGGCAATTCCCTGGGGAATACAGGATCGTGTATCAGCACACGGGGTATAAACTGGTTCTTCATGTCCTGCAGCATATCCACAGATGGGGCTCCTCTTGCTTCTGCCATTTTTCATTTTAAAATGAGCTTTTAAAGACATGCATTGGACCTAGCACGATGGTTCAGTGTCTAAATCCTCCCTCACAAGCACTGGCATCTCATATGGGTGTTGGTTCATGTCCTGGCAGCTCCACTTCCCAACCAGCTCCCTGCTTATGGCCTGGGAAAGCAACAGAAGAAAGCCAAAAGCCTTAGGACCCTGAGGTGTGTAAACTAAAGACCTGCGTGAGGACTGCCTCAGGGGCCAGCCAGGCCAGGGTTCCAGAGTTTAGTGTTGCTTGTGCAGAACGACTGTTGATGTGCTGGGTAGGATCGTGGACTCTGAGGCCAGACTGCTCGGGCCCCAATGCCCTGCCCTTCCCCCAGCTGACTGTGTGACTAGATAAACACTTGCCCCTTGTTGCCACAGCCTCACCGCAAACTAGTTCCTTAG